TCTTATATTTTCTAATTTTATGCAATGCACATATGTAGTTTTAAAATAATAAACGTCTTTTTTAGTAGAGATCAGCTTTGTTTTTTGTTTTTGTGGTACTGGGGCTTGAACTCAGGGCCTTCACCTTGAGCCACTCTACCAGCCCTATTCTTTGTGAAGGGTTTTTCAAGATAGGGTCTGACAAACTATTTGCCTGGGACTGGCTTCAAACCTTGATCCTCCCAATCTCTGCCTCCTGAGTAGCTAGGATTACAGGCGTGAGCCACCAGCGCACAGCATGATTCTTTTTTTAAAAAAGGAAATTTTCTTGAATTTCTCAATTTATTTTGATGGGATACCCATTTGTGAACTTTCGGGTATAAATTTACTTACAGTTGTGATCTGGAGTCAAGTTTTTGTGCTAAAATCATGTGATTTAGACCGTTATTCTCCTTGGCTCACAGTGAACACATATTCAATGGACACAAATGCTACAAGTATCATATCTGTATCATAGTGTTTCTGGTTTCTTCCCTTATGACGATCCCCCTCAACTTCTGAAAAGTCACTTCTAAGTTTAAATTTAAGCATCAGCCTTTCTCCCTAACAGAGTTAAAAATTAGCAATGGTTCGGAGGAAGCAAGGACGGTACACATCAAATGCAGTGAAAGGGCACTGCTTCAGTTCTTAGGAGAGAAGTGGCAGGAGAAGAGCCCACTAAGTAAGTACAGGTGCAAATGCGTGGATCTCAATCACATTTTTTCCTTGTTCACAGCACTTCACAGCACACTCTTGACTGTCCAAAGCAGCAGCTCGGGGCAGCAGACTTTCACAGCAGGGCCCTGTCCTCAAGCACTTACAGGGCTCACTGGGTCATAGCAAAGTGACAAGGACAGGAGGAGGCCTGTGGTTTTTGCTTGTGGCTTTCTCTAAGATTTTTTTTCGGGGGAGGGGTTTCTGTGGTTTTGGGGGATTGGAGTTTTGTGTTTGGATTATTTTGGGCTTTGTTTGCTTTTTTCCCTTGTTTTTAACTGGAGTTAATTATCGGCAGATAAACCCCTGCTACATGCAAGGCACTGTTGTGAATGTCTACCTGCATTCTTCTATTTAAAACCCTGAGACGGACCACCGTCTCACTAGACACAGGAGGACACAGAGATGCCTAGTACTGATGGTCAAAGCTCTTCCAACGAGGGAGCAGCAGAACCAGAGCACAGACCATGAACCCAGACCTGCTTCCAAGTCCACACTGAGGCTTTCAGTGACCATTATTCATTCAGTGACCATTATTTATTCATTAGAATAAATAATGAAGTTAAAATCCATATCCCAAAGCCAGCTTACATATCTAACCATACACAACATGAAATTTTAAAAGTAGCTCCATGCACACTAACATAGACTAGACTAAAATACTTGGGCAAAAGTTGTCAAGTGTACCCTTGAAAACTACAAACCATCAATGAAAGGACAGATTAATATAATCACTACAAAAGTCCCAGCTGCCTTTTTTGCAGAAATTGATAAGCTGATCCTAAAATCCATATGGAAAAGTAAGGGACCCAGAATAACCAAACAGTCCTCAAAAACAACAGAGGAGCTACACCTAATTTCAAACTCTATCACAAATCTACAGAGTGCAATACTGGCATGAAGACAGACAGACAGATCAACAGAACAGAATTCAAAACCCAGAACTAAAACCTCATTGTGTGGTGAACTGATTTTCAGTGAGTGTAAAGAGTACTAGATGGGGAAAGAGCTCTCTTTCAGGATATGGTGGTCGGAAAACTGGATATCCAGGCTGGGGAATGACTCAAGTGGTAGAGCCTGGCAAGCTGGAAGACCTGAATCCAAACGGCTCCTTCCCTCTGACCCCCCAAAACAGGAAAACTGAACATCCATATGCAAAAGAATGAATTTGGACCACTAACTCACTCTATCCACAAAAAAATACCTCAGAATGGATCAACAGCCTAAATATAAGAACCAAAAGCACAAACTCTTAGAAGAAAACAGAGGAGTAAATCCATGCTCTTCAAGAATGGACTCACACGTGACACCAGAAGCAAGAATAACAAACGAAAAACAGATAAACTACACTTCATCAAATTAAAACCTTTTTTGCATCAAAGGACATTATCAAAACACTGCAAAAACAACTCACAGAATAGGAGGAAATATTTGTAAATAATCTAATAAGGGTTTAATATCCAGATTTCATAAAGAATGCCTGTAACTCAATAATAAAAATAAATGGCTCCATTTTAAAACAGGCCCCCTAAAATGATCAAAGAATTTGGACAGATATTTCTCCAAACCAGATATACAAATGGCCAACAAGCATAGGAAAATAAGCCCAGCATCACTGGTCATCATGGAAATGCTGAAATAAGATGCCACTTCACTGGAGGTGTGGCTCAAGTAGTAGAGTGCCTGTGAGCAAGTGTGAAGCCTGCAGGTCAAACCCAGTCCCACCAAAGGAAAAAAAAAAAGGCGAAAGAAAGATACTATTTCATGTGGATATCTAAAATTAAGACAGACAACAAGTTATTGGCCAGGAGGCAGGAAAATTGCAACCCTCTGCATTGCTGCTGGGGAGGTAACACGCGGCAACACTGTAGAAAAGGTGTGATAATCCAAGGCTAAACACAGTTACCCCATGATCAGCAATTCTACTCTTAGGGACAAACCCAAGAGAAATGAAAACATATGTCCACACAAAAGTTCGTAAGAGCACTACTCATAAAGCCAAAACCAGGAGGTGGCGAGGGGGCAGACCCATTTCTGTCAACAGAAGGATGGAGAAAGCAGCTTCGGTATATCCATTCAAAAGAGTATTTTTCAGCAGTGGAAGGAACGAAGTGTTGACCAATGCTGCACAGAAGAAGCAAACTCACTGTGCTAAGTGAAAGAAGTCAGCACAAAGACAATTTATTGTAAGACTCACGTCCTAAAAGCTCCAGAGGAGCTAAAGTCATAGACAGAAAACAGGTTAGTTTTGCCAGGAGCTGGAAGGAAGAAGAATAAGAATGGCTGCCAGGGATAAGGGATTTCTTGTGGAGTGATAAAAATGCTTTAAAAGTAGACAATGATAACAGTTGCATATATGTGAATAAATTACGAACCACAAAATTATATAGTAAAATAGTAAATTTTATGATAGGCAAATTATATCTCAATAAAGCTTTTTAAAGACAGGTTTTTAAAAGATTATTTACATAACGTACGAAAACAAAACACTGAGACTACAGTACCTAATTTTTCAAGTTTCCTTCTTCAGAAAGTTGCAATCTCAACTCTTCAGATGCGATCTTGACTCCAGTAATCGTGTTTCTAAACTTGTGTACTGTGTTCTGTGAACAACCCTACTGAAAATCAACTAAATGAAATTCAACTTGATTAAAAAAAAAAAAAGCCAACACTCACTTCCAGCTAAATATAAATCTCGATTTCCAAATATCACATAAAAGCTGCAAATACTCAGAGGTTTAAACCAATTGCCAACTTTCCTGAATAAACAGCAATTCAGATTTGCTTAGTTGAAAATGTAAATATTTACCCGCTTCAAAGGAACAAAATCCTGTAAGTCTCCTTTCCCCAAATGAAGACAAATATTTCTTTTTTAATACAGAATTAATTTTAACCTGGCTAGGATATAGAGTTGATCCTTTATACCACCAGCACATACCCTGCTTTGGACTGGAACATTATGCAGTGGGACTGGGATTTGAACTCAGGACTTCATGCTGGCAAAGCAGATGCTCTACTGTTTGAGCCACACCTGCAGTCCATTCTGCTCTGGTTATTTTGGAGATTGGGGGGGTAGTCTCAAGAACTGTTTGCCAGGGCTGGCCTCCAACCATGATCCTCTCAACCTCCCAAGTGAGCCACTGGGGCAAGGCTTGGACTGGAACATACTGGAAACATGACACTATACAGTCACAAAAGTTAAACTGGAAACCGAGAAAAATCACACCCACAGTAAAACTACAACCATTAATGCCCAGAAGCTTTGAGAGTGTGGGAGGGGCTGCACTGTTACAGACTCCCTAGCCACTCAGTCTTCCTACAAATATTTCCTGGACACCATGCCGAGCAACAGAACGCTGTGGTGCTCTAGGAGCAGAGCAGGACATGGCTGGCAGGACATACTTTACAGCTGCTCCAACTCACCTGAACACACCTTCAAAAGCTAGGGATAGCTGGGCACCAGTGGCTCCCTCCTGTAATCCCAGCTACTCAGGAGGCTGAGATCTAGAGGATCACCGTTCGAGGCCAGCCTAGGCAAACAGTTCTCCAGACCTCCATCTCGAAAATAAGCAGGGTAAAAACGGCCTGGAGGTGTGGCTCAAGGGGTAGAGCACCTGCTTTGCAAGCGTGAAGCCCCGAGTTCGATAAACAGTCCCACGCACAAAATAAATCAACACAGTTGCCTAACCTTGGAGAGCAGAGCCCGTGGGCCTGGGGCGGGGTGTGCAGGCTGGGTTTTACAGTGTTGGGGATCACTGGGGAGCCCTAAGACTCAGGGTCACCCATCCCGTCCAACGCACTCGCCAAGTCCGCTTGGCCCAGCCTCGATCCTCCGCCACGACGTGGACGTGGACGTGGACCGACGGCTCAGCCTCGCACGGGTCTGGGGGACCAAGCGCGCGCTCCCGCCCCGCCCCACCTGGGCAGCAGCACCTGAGCCAACACCTGTGTCCCCGCCGCCGCGATCCCCGGGTCCCGCCGCACAGGGCGGGGTCCAGGAGGAGGAGCGGGACGCGCCGCGGGCGTTAGGCGCCGACTGAATACCGCACCCCGCTCCTGCGCACGCGCGCGCTCCCACACACTCCCGCGGAAACTGAGGCAGACGGAGGGACGGACCGCGGGCTAAGGGCCCGCAGCGGGACTCGAACCCGGACAGCAAGGCCACTTCCGCCTCGCGGACCTTGGTCAAGCCGCTGAGGCCCGGTCCGGCTCGCACCGACGGAGTTTCACAAAGAAAGTCTCCCGGCCCGCGCCCCTCACGCACTCACCGGCGCCGGCGCGGGCGGAGACTCGGGTTCCCGCCGCCTCCGGTTCCGTGCCGGGGTCGACCCCGGGGTCGGCTCGGACGCCGGCGGTAGTGACTGTTCCATCCCCGCGGGGAGCGGGGCGCGGGCCGCGTCCACCTAGAGCTAACGGTCCCGCCAGCTAGGCGCGCGCACCGCTCCCGCGCGCCATGTTCCCGCCGTGCCGCGCGCCGCCGAGGCAACCCACACACACCACACACACCACCTCCTCCTCCTGTCCCTCCTCCTCCTCCTCCTCCTCCTCCTCCTCCTCCTCCTCCTGGCTGAACGCGCGCCCCCGCGGGGCCGCCCCCCCACGCACACCGCGCGCGCGCGCACGCTCGCCACGCCCTCTCCCGCGCGCCCCGCCTGGCGCCCTCAGGAGCCGCTCGCTGTTCCTGGCACCGTACATCACCCCCGCCGCGCCTGTCCCGACAGGGTGGGGAGCGCCGCTGTTCCCGGCTCCGCGCCGCCGCCCTCCGCACTGCGGGCCACCCGGGCGGACCCTTTATTCTGTCTCTCACCTTGCTGGGCCCAGGCAAGGTCCAACCCAAAAGTGCAAGGGGACAGGCGCGACTGTGTTGATGAGATTCCCATCCTGGAGGTGTGGAGGCACGTGCGCGAGGGGAGGTGGCACAGTCACACAGTCAGACCCCAGGGAGAACCCCGAGTTCAAGTCCCGCTCCTCCCCGTGAGAGTAAACTCAGGTCTGCGGAGCCTGTTTCGTCTCAATCGGACAAGAGATGGTATAATGCAGCACCAGGTGGTTCTAGGGGTGACAAAACCTCTTAAATAGGGGGATTTTGGGGGGATCGGATTTGAACTCATGGCTTTCACACTTGCAAAGCAGGCGCTCTACGGCTTGAGCCACTCCTCAAGCTCTGGTTATTTTGGAGATGGGGGTCTCCCCAGTTATTTTGTCCCCAACTTCAGTCTCCGGATCTCAGCCTCCCAAGTAGCTGGGATTACAGCTGTGAGCCACTGGTGCCCGGTTTAAGTAGTTTCAATGGTAGAGCCAAGGGCTCTCTAGAAAGGATACAAGCGCCCTCTTGAAAACTGGTCAATTGTGAGCACACCATGTAATCAGTCGAGAGAGCCTGGGCTTCTACGTGTGCAAGGGGAAGTGTGCAGTGCCGCACAGGGTTGACCTCAGCTTTTGTAGGGGATCTTGCGTACACATTGCCTGGCCCACTGGCAGAATTCCTGCCCTGTCCTTCCAAGACTCCTAAAAGTTTAATGAAAGGGGCTCTGCTTCCAAACCCCGAAGTATAATTAGCTGGGAGGAGTTCACCCAACCCTGGGCCTACAGGGACTTCTTCCCACTATTTGCTTTCCAATCAGTGCCTCAAACCTCTCTGAAAATCCAAAAGTTTGGCAGGAAAACAATAGCAGAAAACCTATTCCCTGCTAGAAAAAAAAAGAAGAGTCAAGAGTCTCTTGGAATTTGTAAATGGTCATGTTATAGTCTGGCCTTTTTCAGATACAAATGTCACAAACTCAACTTGGGAGTAAAACAAAAAAGGGAACATACCTGATCATATCACTGAAAAGTCCTGGGGCAATTTGTCACCTTCAGTATAGCTCACATCTACCCATGTAAACAAGGGTTGTTTCCCAATACAGACCCAGGATCCCTTACACCCCTTATCTGAAATGGGGCCAGGTCTCAGATCTCAGTGTGTGTGTTTTGTTTTGTTTTGTTTTGTTTTGGGGGGGGGAGTGTTGTTTTATCAGATTTTGGAGTATTTGCAAATACATAATGAGGTCCGTTAGAGATGCAACCAAAATCTAAACATGAAATTCATTTACATTTCATTACATTCATGCACACAGCCTGAAGGTGACTTTATAGAATATTTTTAGTAATTTTGTACATGCAGCAAAGTTTCCTGGTTTGGAATGTCCCATGTGACATCATGTCAGTACTCAGAAGTTTGGGGTTTGGAAACATTTTGGATTTGGGTGCATATTGAATTTTCAGATGAGAGATGTTCAACCTATTATAATTCCAGCCAGAGTTCCAGAGTTTATTTTCACTGGACTTATTTGGACCACGTGGCCCTTCCTGCGTCATCTGTTACAACCGAATGGCAAAGCTGGCTATATAGGAAGAGTTAGGGTTATCACCTCTAGAAGGACACAGAAGAGGGTGATGTAGGAGGAGGGATGTCTCCCCCTAAAAAGCAGAGGTGCAGTCAGCATCAGCACTGGGCACGCGGCTGGCACAGACAGAAGCTGCGTAGCCTACAGTGGGTTTACCATGAAGCCACCTGCCGGGTCTACTTCAGCCTCTGGGAAATGTCCCTCCATTGTTCCCATCACCCACCCCAGTCCAGGCCATTTCCCAGACCTCCTTAGTCAAAATCAAAGGCAGTGCAGTGACCACACAGGTGCTCAAAAAGGAGCTGAAAAGACATTGTCTCCCTGCTCAAGAACATTCTATGATTCCCTCTGGCTCTTCCATCTTTCTCATGGAATCCAACATTGATGAGTTCCTTAGCACACACCAAGAACCTTGTGAACTTCATCCCCTGAATCCTCACAAAGAGGTTGGCACTCGTTGCACCCATTTTACAGACAAGGAAATAAAGTCTCGGCAAATTGTCCAATGTCAGGGAGCCAATGTTAGGAAGTTCAAATTAGCACCGTATTGGTCCCACCCATTAATGCTGATGTCCCAGCTCTGTTTGCTCAGGCTTCAAAGCACTGTACCTCCAGTTAGGAAGCCAGGGTTTAATAGCAGAAGGATCCTCTAGACACCCCTTCAGGCTCCATGATCACCCCCCAGTGCCACGCCATGACTTCATGGGAGAGGGAAAAGAATTCCTGCAAATTCCAGAGTGGGGTTAGGAGGAAGTCAGTGCTGAGTGGCTGGATCACCCCGCGTGTCCCCACTGGTAAGTGTATTAGTCTCCTGCAACTGCTGTGACAAGTTAGCACAACGTGGGGAAGTTAGAACAACACAAAAGCTGGTGGAGTAGCTCAAACGGTGGCACAGGCTGCCTAGCCAGTGCAAGGTACTGAGTTCAAGCCCCAGTACCATCAAAACAAGAAAAAGTATTCTTACAGTTCTGCAAGTCAGATCCCTACAAGCAGTTTCACTTGCTTGAAGTCCAGTTGTGGACGTAAAGAAAGAGCTGGTTTCTCAAGGGAGTTCTCAAGCAGAATCCACTTTCTTGGCTTTTTCTGCTTCCAAGCTGCCTGGGTACCTTGGATTGTGGCCTCTTCCTCCATGTTCAAAGTGCATTACTACCATCTCTCTCAGCTCAGTCATCACACCCCTGTCTCCTCTGCATCCGACACCTCCTGGGTGTCTTAAAAGGGCTCTTGTGATGACTTTGGGCCCACTGAATAAAAAAGGATAATTTCTCCATCTCAAGATCACAGTCAGGCCCAGTGTCTCAAGTCTAGAATTCTAGCGATTCAGGAGCCAGAGATCAGGAGGTTTGAGGCCAAGCTGGAAAAAAAGTTCAAGAGACCCCATAGCACCCAGTGGCCGGGTACAGTGGCGCACATCTGTCATCCCAGTTACAGCAGGAGGCATTAAACAGGAGATGGCCAGCAGGCATAAACTGAGACACTATCTTAAAAATAACCAATGTAAAAAGGGCTGGGGTGTGGGGCTTAGTGGGTAGAGCCCCTGCCTAGCAAGCGGGAAGTCCGGAGCTCAACCCCAAATACTGAGAAAAAAAAAGACACTAGCAATAATGGCGTCTGCAAAGCCCTGTTGCCATGCAAGGCAACCTGTTGAGGGACATCCAGCCTATCAGTCATGACAAAATTGTCACAAGGAGCTACACAAAGGACTCTAGAAATGGGGAAGGGCTGGCAAACTCTGCCCCAAGAAGGAAACTACCCAAATGAGCTAAAACCCATCTAACCTGGCAACCTCAGCCTCATTCCTTCAACCACCTAAGCCCCCACCAGCCCCCCACACCGGGCCACCCAAAACTCAGAATGTTCACATACCCTCCTGATGTAACTCGCCAGCCCCCCCCACCCCCCCTGCAACGGCTGTGTGTCCTTCCTGCTGGTGGAGTGGCATTTTAACATTGGTACAGCCAGCGAGTTACAGTGTGTTGCAGCACCAACCAGGCAAAGATACAAAGAAATCAAAGAAAAAGAATTGGTGAGTTGAAAAGAGATAAAAAGGAGATGGCCGTTAGAACTGCCTACACCTGCTGGGTGCCAGTGGCTCACGCCTGTAATCCCAGCTACTCAGAAGGCAAAGATCAGGAGGATAGAAGTTCAAAGCCAGCCTGGGTAAATACTTCTTCAGCCCCTATCTTGAAAAAGACCATCACAAAAAAGGGCTGGTGGAGTGGCTCAACATGTAGTTACTGAGTTTAAAATCCCAGTACTGCAGGGGGGAAAAAAAAATCTGCCTACACTCCCAATGGCTGCCAGGCTCAGCCTTCTGTAATGCTGCAACAAATCTCATTTTCCATGAAATAAGGTGAATGGGCCCGTTTCTTGTCACCAAGGTGTTTCAACCTCCACAGACCATAGGGTTGTCGCTGTAGTCAGCCAAAAGGGACTGAAGGGTCTTGCTAAGCAGACGAGTTCCTGCTTCTTGTGGCAGTTCACTGCTCGTAATAATTAAACACACTGGTATTGAAGATCTAGATGTCCGTCTCTTCTGAGTTTTGTTAGTGTGAGTCAACACTCCCTCGTCTGAGTGAATATGCCAGTGGAGAGACAAAAGAACTAGTTCTAGAGTCAGAAAGACCTCGGTTGGGTCCCAGCTCTGCCAGTTACCAGCTGTGTGACACTGGGCTCCTCACCTAGAACATGAGGCTGGTTAGAGGATCATAACAAGGACAAGACCAGACAAGAGTTGGGCTTTGCACAGGGCCTCCCTGATCATGCCTGGGTCCACTGACACATCCACGTATATCCAGCTACCAAAACCTAATGCCTCTAGGACACAGTTCATCTGTAACTTATTTGCAGAAAAGACCGTCCTAAAACTTAGAAAATTTTTAATTTTTCAACTTACCTAGCCCCAAGGTTTCAGAGACAGCAGACCTGTATCTTCAGGGAGTAAAGGTGAGACTTACTTTTATTACTTTTATTTTTCTGGGACAGTGCCTCACTATGTAGCCGAGGCTGTCCTCAATCTCACGATCCTCCTTGCTTTACCTCCTGTGCACTGGGATTATAGGTGTGAACCACCACCATACCCAGACTGAAGATAAGAATCTGAAACTGGCTAGTGACATACACACCAAGGTACCTGCCAACCAAAAACTCCACCGCAGCCTCACGGAGCCCCTTTCCCTGCGACTTTCAAGGGGGGGACTTTACAACTGACATTCAGTGCACACAGGCTAAAACCAGGGTGACATACACCCTGAGGAACCAGCCAAGTTCCCAAGGTGGGACTCCAGATTAAAGGCACCAAACAATTTCTAACTTTTAAAGGAAAAAAAAAGGCATTCCACCAGAGCACATTTCATCAAAGCAAGTTCAGCTTCCATTGGGTTTTTAATCATACATCAGTGATTGTGGAAAAGCAATTAATTCCCATAATTAAGACAAACTACAAAAAAAGATGACAGCACAAAGAAAGGTCTGGTCTTTCTGGTTGGAGCTACAGCATCACGACACAGCAGTGCACACAGCTGGGTGCTTTGTGGTCCCCGTGTCCTCCGCGTCCTCTTGAAGTAGCCGCTTTCGTTTACTGGGAGGCTGGAAGAAGGGGAAAGAGGACAGTGTCTGAAAGATCACTATGCTTCTGGTAAATTGGGAACATTTCACAAGGAGTGTCTAGAACCGAGAATTACCAGTTGTCATGACAATGAACCCCCCCAGCCCCCGAGACTTGGACCTGTTGATGTCACTGCCATTTCTCTCTCTGATGGTTTCTAAGTACTTAAGATGCACAGGCAGTTCGCTTGCAATACGCAGATGACAGAAACCCAATGTGGCAACTGAATCCTTCCCAGGCTAGCGACGTGCCCTACAGTCCTCCCTCCTGAAGCCCCAGCTACAGCGTGCTGGGACGCGACATTCCGGTGTCCGGAGGGTAGGGATACAGGGCGACGTCAGCTCACAGTGTTTTCACCCTACGACGGGTTTATCAGGATGAGACCCCATGTGAGCTGCACAGCACGTGTACATTGACAGCAAGCAGCACGGTCTTCTCCTGAGTCATCAGATGGAAGGAGACGACAGGGGCCAGGGCTGGAGCATGGTGCTTAAGTGTGTGCTTAGCATGCAGTAAGGCCCCGGGCTCAATCTCCAACGTGAGGAAGGAGGGAGGGAGGGAGAGAAAGGAGGAAAGAGGGAGAGAGGGAAGGAAGGAAAGAGGGAGGGAGGGACAGAAAGGAGGAAAGAAAGGAGAGGGAGGGAAGGAAGGAGGAAGGGAGAGAAAAAGGGAGGGAGGGAGAGAAAGGAGGAAAGAAGGAAAGAGAGGGAGAGAGAGAGGAAAGGAGGAAGGGAGGAAAGGAGGGTGGGAAGGAAGGAGGGAGGAAGGGAGAGAAGGAGGGAGGAAGGGAGGGGGAGAAAGGAGGGAGGAAGGGAAGGAGGGAAGAAGGGAGAGGAGGGAGGAAGGGACGGAGGGAGGGAGGGAGAGAAAAGAGGCAGGGAGGGAAGGAGGGAGGGAGAGAAAGAAGGAAACAAAGGGAGGGAGGGAGGAAAAGAAAGGGGGAAAGAAAAAGAAGGAGGGAAAAAAATCAAAGAGGCTAACATCTCCCACTTAGAACCCCAAGTCTTTCTCTTTTATGAAAAAGACAATCTTTTGTGCCTTAGTTCTTTCTCCGTTTATACAATTGGGAGGGAGCATTCGCCAACAGATAGCAGAACAGGAAAGGAACAGACAGGCATTTGTACTTATAAGCAATATGAGAAGAATAAATTTCTATTTTTTTAGTGGTACTGAGGTTTGAACTCAGGGCCTCAAGCTTGCTAGGCAGGCACTCTAACACTTGAGCCACTCTGCCAGCAGATTTTAAAATTATAAACAGAAAGTTATCAAGTGCTAGCTCAAATTTGAAACTCTGCAACAAATACAAATTTGAGCCTGTAACAATCTTGCCTGGCAGGAGCCCTTTTGAGTAAGTCTCTACCTGCACGGGCTGGTGCATCAGACCTACCTGGCACTGCTACATCTTCAGAGCCTGCTGGAGAAGGTCAAGTTGAAACAAAGTACCTGCTCCATTGTACCTTTAAGGACTGAAGCAACTGCCACACCCGAGACTCTCCACTGCCCTCTGCCTTGCTCACCAGTAATTTCAACCTAGTCTGTGAGTGACCGGCAGGTTACCTGGGCTGGGCCCTGGGGTAGAGCCATGGGTTTATTTTCTTTAGCCAGCAGGTCCTCAAACTTTTTCTTCATGTCCTCATCCTGTGAAGAAATTAAAACCATTAGTAGGCTGTGTCTGAAGGAAAAGGAAGCTCCTTGAAAGATAGAGCTAGGGCGTCCCTACAAAGAAGAAGAAGGAAGCAGGCTGAGACCTCCATCCTGGCCAGCCACTAAGACTCTTCCCCTTGCTAAAATGCCCGGATGAAGGCTGCTCAGGTCTGCCCGCTCAGAGCACTTTCATGAGCAGGCAGTGCTAAGCCAACCACTGGGTGAACAAAATCCACATGCCTGAGAGCTCTCAGCTGGTCAGAGAACAAAAGAAGACCTCAGCAGTGGCGGCTTTCAGAACCAACATCTTAGATCCTAAGTGATGGCAGTCAGGAAGCCAGAGTGTGGCCCTGGGTCCTTCCAGACCCCCTGCTTCCCCTGCCACCAGTGAGGCCAATGGCTCTGGCCATCCTACTAACCAACCCAGCACCCTACAAAAATTACCCATTAGGTGCTGTATGAGTTGCTAGAAGGGCTCCCAGCCCACACTACCCAAGCTTAGAGAAAGCACAACAATGGACAGGACACACCTTGCAGCGCAGGGGTGGGGTGGCCAGAGAACTCTTGCCCAGATGTGTGTGACTGGCTCCCCCTCCCTGGATGCTGAATCCTGTAGGGTTCAAGGATCTGATCTGGGAGCCCTGAGAGGGGGCCGGGCACTGTTCTCCCCATCTTCGGAAATGCAAAACATCTGTAACTAGGACGGGGGGAGGAGGGAGTGCCCTGTGGGGCAGCCAGAAGCCCAGCTGAACCACTTGCAAGTGGCGTGTGCAGAAAACACACCAGCAGCGGTTTGATCTCAAAGCCCTGTCTACTCCCCACCCAACCCACAGCCTTCCTTCTCCTATCCCTAAGCCAGGCGTACCACGGCGCCAGGGGCAGAGGCCTCCACATTCAGCAATTTTATAAACAATTCCCAGTGCCAGAGGAGAGCTGGGCACTCTGGCAGGCACAGGGACCCTCTCAAACTGTGTAAAAGGGATCCCCAAAGCCCTGTGGGCAGGAGCCCTGCCTCCTCCTGGTTTACAACAGGATTCTGCACCTACCCCATTACCATACTATGACCCTGCTCGGTGATGATGGTGGTCAGTGTTGGTCCAACCCAGACTATGGACTCCCCATGCCAGGACTTATCACTCTTTACGTGAATGTGCCCAACAGTGCTGGGTACCTGAGCTCTGAGGAAATGAACCATGCAGAGGGCTGCTGCGCTTTGATAAGTGCCCCCTGAGGCCTGTGTGTAAGAGGCTTGGTCCCCAGCCCATGGTGCGATGAGGGGGAGGCAGTGGTGGCTTTGAGAGGTGGGACCTAATGGGAAGAGATGAGATCATTGGGGGGTGTGCCCCTGAAGGAGACTGGCACTTTGTCCCTTCCTCTTCCTCTCTCTTGTTTTGCACTAGCCATGAGGTGAACAGGTCTCCCCCAACACAAACTCCCACCATGATGTGCTGACTCACCACAGTCTCATCAAAGCAATGGAGCCTGTCAGTTATGGACTGAAGCCTCCAAGACTAAGCCAAAATAAACCTTTCTTCTTTTTAAGTTGATTTGTCTTGGGTTTGTGTTATAGTAGCAGAAAGCTTTTTGGCTAACAAAATGCCCCTCTCCTGGAGGTGCTTTGTGCAGCCAGACTGTCCCCGAATCTATTAAACCTATATTTACAAATCACCAATTAGCAATATGAAAATGGACCTCACAGTTAGCACGGGTAGCCAAGCGTGTCTGTAAATATCCTTCCTTTGATATGTCTATTAAAAACGTGAAATTACAATATCCCTCAAAGGCAAGCAGGAAAAAAATCCTGTATTGTAGCAAAATAAGGCAGAAAGTGGAAAGAAGGGAAATTCTCAAAGCTGACACTGCGAGTGACAAAACAGACCAGGACTCCCAAGCCCAGCGCCAGACCCACAAAACCACTAGGTTTCTTAAAAACTCTGAACTCCCCCAAAAAAGAAAACCTAACATCACTAACAGCCAGTCTACGTCTCGTCCTCACTCAGATGTCTGCCCCACCTTTGGCTGAGAAAACAAAATGTGAACAAAGTGTGTCCACGTGAGACCCCTGTGGCACAGCTGAACGTCACCTTTTCCTTCTTTGTGAAGACAAGAAAAACAGGTTACACTGGCTCGTAAATTTCAGGCAGACACAGACCTTGTTCTCAAGGTATAACTGGCCAGCTCTGTTTTATTTTTGTCCCCAAAGGTCTTCAACTTCTAGATTTGGGACCTAAGAGCTTCCCTGTTAGGACACATGAAAAAAGCCAAGGGGTGTGTTTCTCTTCTTCATCAAAATGAAATCCCCCTTGCAAAGGCTCATTTGTCTCCAGACTCCTTTGCTCCAAGGTCTGCTGTTTCAAATCTGTGTGGTCCATTAAACGCCAACTCCTCTGACAGATTTCTTCTGGGAGGACTGTTGTTTCCAGGGCAACATCCAAAACACATGTATCTGCCTTGTTTTTCTTTTTTTTTTTTTTCTTTTCTTTTAAGGATTTGTTGTTCGCAACCTGAGTCAGCCTGAGCACAACTGTTAGGTGTGGAGGATTGGAAGACAGAACGGGGCCAGTCTTCCCAGAGTCCCCAAAGTAGAGAGGCGAGGCTGGATTGTTCAATGGGTTCCCGGCCCTGTAATCCCCAGAGTTAACAGCCTCCAGTTTAGCTACCTGGCTAAATCTCCCATCCCCACAGGACACAGAGAGGGCAGGAGAAAAGTTAACAGGAAGGAAAACGGCCATACTCCACAGGAGATCAGACTTGCGTCAGAGAACCAGGGTGATGTGTGGTTAATTCCAAGGCCAAAGATTAACCTAACAAAGCCACAAAAGACTTGCTCACTCCAGCAGTTATGAATGAGGTCACTACCAAATCTAATGGCAGCCACGGGTCCTAGCAGAAGGTAACGCAGTTTAAGAGGACCAGGTACCAGCACGCCCCGAAGGCATGCCTACTCACCAGAAGCCTGAAGTGGGACCCTTTCAACCCCATCTCCTGGGCTTGAAAAGTTGCTAGATCCTTCCCAGGAAGGCCGCCCTCCTCCACCTGCGAATTTGAGGGCGAAGAGGGCTGGAATGCAGCCCAGCCCAACCTATTGGAGGAGGAGAAGGGCAGGCACGCAGTTGGGGTGCATCCACAACAAATTCTCAAAGGGTCACTGAAGATTGAAGAAGCTGAATGCAGCCAGAGCAGGCCACAAAGGGATTTGACCACCCAAGAGCCACAGAAAACGCAGGAAGGGTTAAACGTGCCAAGCACACAGGAACCTCCCCTCACTCAGCACCTTATACCAGCAGGCGTTGCCCCTCCACCCACCTGAAGCCAGGGGTGGCTTAAGGCCTCTTCTGTGGTAAGCCTTGCCTTTGGATCCACGACCAACAACTTCTTGACAAGGTCCAGCGCTAAAGCAGCAAGAGAAGTGGGCAAATCACAGTGAAAAGACAAATAGGCGAAACCGGCAATATCACAGTATGCCAGAATTACAGGCCACCATCCAGAAAGGAAATATCATGGAGTCACAGAGTTAGGGGACAGGGCCCGCCAAGCTTCCTCACTCTCAGTGGGCTCAGAACCCCAGGAGTGATCGTGACAGTCCCCTTTTCTCCTTACTGGGACATCACAGCCTCTTAGTTCCCTGTTTCCTCTCTTGCTGCTGGACACAATTTCAAACTAATTAAAACTGAACTTGTACCCAGTTCTGCCTGAGACCCACGGATTGATGGTGAGAGGCCCTTGGCCAGAGAGGGGCTCATGGGAAGTGCAGGCTTGTCAGAATAACCCTGACTAGGGTTTGAAGGCTGCAACAGTATTCTCCCTCTCATTTACCAAACCACGATGTTGCATTATTGGACCTTTCGGTTTTTTAATCTACTTGTTCTGCAGGGAGTTCCAAGGTTGCACTTTTCAGTGCTACCTACACAAAGGAAAGCTTGCAACTACAAAGTTACTTGTTTTGCACACTTAAATAAGTAGGAGGATCCTGTGGACATTCTACTTAAAACCCTTACAAAAACCCTGTAAGGTAGGGGTTACAGAGGGGCTCTTTAAAAATAAAGAAAAGGGAGACTCAGAGAGGTTAAATAATTTGCCTGAGGTCACACAGCTTGGAAACAGCAGACCTAGGACTTGACCTCAGGCTCTCTTATTAATTCCCTCTGCCTCTCAAATGGTATAAAACTAACAACAGAAACAACAGGAGAAAACATCACAGAGTTTGAAAAGAAAGTCCCACCAAGAGAACACCCACATTTTAGTAAAGCACAAATTCTTAAACCCTTCCGTATCCATACCCTTCTCTGAGACCTCTGCCCAGACTTCGGGAATGAAGGTGTATTTTCCACTGGTGATCTGATCCTTCAGTGACACTTGAGTCTTATGCTCAGAGAAAGGTGGATACCCACTAAGGCTTAACATTGGTAGAGAGAGAAAGGAAGAGAAATCAAGAAGCGTTCTGACATGGAGACTTCTTTTTCAGCATAATGAAAAAAAAAAATCAGGTTTGTCTTTAAAACGATGACCTAAACTAAACACACACTCTCTGCCTGGAGATGTTTATGAATTCGTCCAACCACATCCAACCAGACTACGAAGCAATGCAAACTTTCCCTACCAGATAAAAAGGATGACTCCCAAACTCCAGCAGTCCACAGCACGGTTATACCCGGCAGTCCCAGCGGAAAGCAGGACCTCTGGAGCCAGGTACGTGGGAGTCCCACATAGAGTCCTCATCAGAGACGTCTCTCCCAGAATCTTGGACTGCCCAAAATCAGTAATCTGAAATGAAGGACAAAAGGAATTGTTGTTAACGATGTCATAAAAGAAAAACATTACCATAGTCTGTGCACCCCAAAACATGTAAGCTAGATCAGTTTCTCCTGTACAGATAGCACCAAAATCTATAAAGCGAGTTAAGGTATTTAATTTTCCTGAAAATCAATATCCAAAGCCTAGGAATCCTAAGACTGGGGTTTTCCAACTTACTGTGTTCTTACAGAGCACTGAGAACTCTACCACAAACACTCTAGTTATGGATGGTTCTTCCCAGACACAAGTTCTCAGATTTGACTACACCATGGAACACCTGGGAGCTTGGGGAAAAACACTTAGAGCTGGGTGTCACCCTGAGATCCTGAGGCGAGGCCTCAGACTTGGTTTATTTAATACTAACAGGACACTAAAATGAAGCTAGGGTAGAGAAGAATGACAAGACAGGACCCCTTCCTCTCTCTCTCTCTAGTATTAAAAGGGGCTTGGACACAGGGAAGTCTAAGCAACACTGGGCCAAACCCTTTCTCCTGACCCCTACAGCAACCGTTACTAAGGAAAGGTCAAATTCTCGACCTTTTTACACTCCTGGTTTTACGTGAGGAATGAGAAGTTTCAGAGCAGAAATCTACTGGAGGGGCCACAGAGAGAAGACCCATTTCCTACCTTGATGAGACAGTCCTCTTCCTGAGATGACAGGAGGACGTTCTCTGGCTTTAAGTCCCGGTGTATAATCCCATTCTCGTGAAGGTACTGCACAGAAAGGGAGGCGTGACCCTTGAATTTAAGTGGTGGGTAGGTGAGCCGACACCGTTTACCAACACGCACGTCTCAGCCTGGGAGGAACTGTAAGCTAGCTGTGCTGTGTACAACCACCACATTCCTCAAAGTCATACTGAGCTGGCCTGGAGGTGCAAAAGCCCTGAGTTCAAATCCCAGTCCCACCAAAAAAAAAACAAAAAACAAAACAAGGCCTGGGAATGTAGTCAATATAAACCCAGGCCTAATACTAATCCCCACCAGTGCAAAAACTCAATAAATAGCCAGAGCTAGTCTACTCCAACGTGCAAAGATTGTCTCCTGGTCTTCAAACTTTCTCTGTCTGTGAAAACAACACACACCACACCAACGTATTAAACCACATCCTTCAGGAATCAAAAATGTCCCAAATCACAGGTCTTCACAGTGAATATAAGGGAATCAACCAGTAAGGGAGTCTAGCACTAGGTGGGTGACAACAGTCATGAAAAAGGGTTTGTGGGGCCAAGCACAGCAGCTCATACATGCAATCCCTGCTACAACAGAGGCAGAGATTGGGAGGGTTGCACTTTGAGGCCAAGGGAGTGGGGAAGAATTAGTGAGACCCTCATCTCAACCAACAAAAAGCTGGGTATGGTGGCAGGCACCTGTCATGCCAGCTATGCAGAAGGAGTAAATGGAGGCTTGTAGACCAGATTGGCCCAGGAATACACTCAAGACCCTATTCGAGAAATAACTCAAGCATAAGGAGCTTGGGGCACAGCTCAAGTGGGAAACATCTGCCTAGCAAGCACAAGGCCCTGAATTCAAATCCCAGTACTGTCTCAACGAACAAATAAATAAAAGGGGAACAAACCCATGTGAGCCAAACCCAGAAAAACCTCGCTCCATCCTCACCCAACACAAAAGCTGCTCCCAGTCACTGCATTTCCTCCGTGAGGTCGGGTTTTCAAGAGAAAAAACCCTGCTGGGGAATCACCATGACCAAACAAATGGTGACATCCCTCAAACCAGGGAAACCAACCATTCCTCTGTCAACACCCTCACTTAGGACAGAAGGTTATGCACATCCCCGACCGCCTGCTCTGGTGCAAAGCACGCCCACCTGCCCACCACCACTGCACCTGCGGGGAAACTGAGTTCTGAAAGTGCACATGGTCTGTCCTAATCCCCCAAACTGCAGCCCTGCCCCTCACCCACACAGCTCCCACTGAGAGTTGACAGGCTTTCCACAAGGATCAGCAGGTACAAAAACCAAAGCCCCTCCGGGGAGACCGCCAAGCCAAGGACAGGAGACATGGGACTGTGTTGATTTCTTTAGCGCCCTTCCTCGCTTTCACAGCGACAGCTTTGTCATCTGGATCCAAGGGGGGGGGATGTTTTTGCCAAGAACAGAACAGCAAACACACAGAATCTCTTCTGAGTTTTAACCGTCAGTCCTTCGGTTTCCCTCTAACTCAGGACTTACGGGCTTCTCTTACCTGCACAGCCAACAGCATCTGATAAAAATACAGTTTGCAGGTGGCTTCTTTCAGGCCTTTACTCCCCACCACCTTGTCAAACAGCTCTCCTCCTTCCATCCTGAAACACAAAGGGCAAAGCAGGGCGTTTCTTCCTGGAGGGAAACTCACTTGGACAGAAAACAGCACAAATGAAACAAACTCGTCAAGACAGGCCAACAGGGCTGAGGGGGCAGCTCACTGGTAGAGGCCTGCCTAGCGTGCCTGAAGCTCTGGGTTCCATCCCCAGCACCAAAGAAACCCCAAAACAAAAACAAAACAGTTGCTATTTTTACAAACTTCCTCCACAATGAGAAGTCCCATTGGAAACAGAGGAACAGGATGAAAGGAGTGTGCAAAGCAGCATATGTTGTACTTGGAGAGCTTTTTAAAAAGCTGATTCCACGGCCAAGAGGCAGGGCCCAGGAGTCTGTGTTCCTATCATGCACCCCAGGTGACTATAAGGCTAGAGCAAGCCGGTGTTACAATCAAACCACCAGGGTCTAAACCCCAACTCCACCACTCCCGAGCTAGAGGCCTTTGAGTAAGTTATTTAACCTCTCTGAGCTTAAAAAGAGGTGGGGCGGGGAGGTAGAGAACACTACTGCCTAGCAGGACAGGTAGGGTAAACATTAACAGAAACCAGCGCTGGCAAAGCCAGTGGCACAGTACAGATGCTCAGCAAAGCTATTCAATCCTTTTGTCAATCAAATACAGCAACTCACAGTAAGGTTATTATGGAGGCTACAGGAGCCAATGCAGGGAAAATGCTTACCATGGTACTTGGCTCCTGGTAAGTGCTCAGTAAGTATCAGCCGGTTTTCTATTATGTTACTAAACTTTGTTAACCAGATTCGGTCAGGTAACAATCTTCCCTTTGGTAGACATTCCCTAAAGCAACATGGGGACACCGGTCTCTCCAGGTGTCTCTCAGGACTGCTGTTTATTATGTCATCTCAGTGGTCACTCTGCATTGCCACCATTCACCAGCTGGGAACAAAGCATTCTCTGCCTGTCACAACAGCAGCTCGCAGATGTACTCAGGAATAGACAGGAGACCGGCCTCTTCTAGGACTGAGGCAGGAAATGATTTTGGCTATGTCAGATGAGCCAATATCACTGAAGTGAAGGAGCAAGACACTGAGATATTTGGGTACCACCAGGTAACCAGGTCCCATGATCCCAAGCAGCCAATGTTGCTGGGCACCATGGCTCACACCTGTAATCCCAGCTACTTGGCAGGCTGAGATCAGGAGGCTCAAGGTTCGAAGCCAGCCTGGGCAAATAAGTTTGCGAGACCCTATTTCAAAAAACCCATCACAAAAAAAGGATTGGTAGAGTGGCTCAAGTGGTAGAATGCCTGTCTAGCAAGCCTGAAGCCATGAGTTGAAACCCCAGTGTCACCATATATACTCATAGATGTTGAGTCACCACATGTGCCAGTGGTTTGTCTGCAGGGGCTTTCCATCCCAAATAGTGTTTCACCCTGACAAGGTTCTGCATGTGTGGCAATCGTCATTATTATCCACATTTAACACTAAGAAAATGAGACTCAGAGAGGAGAAATAAACTTCCCCCTGACTGGCCAGCCAATCACCTGTAGACTAAATTTCTAACCCAGGCTTCAGAACAGGGCCTGGAATGCCACACAACCCCGGCTTTGGAAACACCGGCGGACTCTCACAATTGATATTAACACCCCCATACACACACACACACACACACACACACATCTTGTGGGTCCAACCACTGCGCACAGACACACTGAGGGCCCTGCGTGAGAAAAGCAAGCCTGTGTTCAATTCTTTGCAGGCTTATAAGCACTTCAATAGAAAGAGAAATTCAAAATGTCTACTACTTACAACTCCAAAACAATGTAATAATCTTCTGCATCAAAAAAGTTTTTAATCTTGATGATACATGGCTAAAATGGAGAAGAAAGGGAAAATAGTGAGAAACTTCCGAAAACAAAAACACACAAAAAAAAAAAAAAAAGAGAGAAACCACAAAAACCACAGCATTTAAGATATCTTCCCAGACGATCAGAAAGGCAAAGCCGGCACTTGGCTCCATCTCTGGAAGCTTTGAAGCTGAGGTGAGAGACTAGTCCATCCTCTCTTTAGGAGGAAGTGATACCTAGGAATGAAAGCTGGCTGTATGTAGCATAGGCTGGCTTCGAGCTTTCGATCCTCCTGCCTCTGCCTCCAGGGTGCTGGGATTATAGGAGTGCAGCACCATGCCCGATTTTCTTTCTTAAATTAGATGGCGAGTTCAAAGATGTTCCTCCTTTCACTGTCTTGCCTTAGAAATTACATTTATCTCGTATTGTTTTGCATGTGTCAGATATCATATAACGTTTTAATATTTAAAGGAAGAGAAGAGGATACAAAGAAGGGAAAGAAAGAAGTGAAGAAAGGAAGGCAAGAAGAAACAAATCCTTTGGCCCCTTGCTTCCAGTAGGGATCACCAGACCGTTACGACTTAGTCTCACCCTGTTCCCCACCCACCTCCCCAGCATCATCTCCTGCTCCTGGTCCCATGCACCTTTCTCTCCAGACCATAAGATTCACGGCCCGCCTCAGGCTGTTCCCTGTTCTCCTTTCGGTGCTCACCACTGCTCACACACCACTCCTGCCTACCATCCAGCCGCTGGCACACTTGGCCTCAGGTGGACCGTCCCCTCAAAGCACAGTCACACACCAGGCATGGTCCTACCCCACCTTCACTAGCTATCTCCCACCAGGCTGTGGGCTCTAGAAAGACAAAGAAAGGAAACTAACACCCACCATGGGTCTTCCTTCACCAGATGGCACAGGAATGGAGCCAAGTCCTAGTTATCTTCTAGACCCAACATCCAGCTCAGCAGCTGGCACAACAGAGACATCATACCAACCTCAAAACCCAGCCACTGAGTGCAGACCAGCCAGGTTTCAGCCTGGGAAACATAAGACCTGGAGGGCTGAGCTGAGAGCAAACCAGCCCCACCAGTCCTCATCTGGGATCCCAGTACACTACAAACAACTGCTATTGTCTCAATAACAAGAACTCTGAAGACTCATTATCAAATTATAGAAGGAGGAACAGACAGGAAAGAAGGGTTGGGCGCAGTGGCTCACACCTGTCATCCTAGCACTTGGGAGGTACAGATCAAGAGGATCACAGTTTGAAGCCAGCCAGGGGAAAAAGTTGGTGAGACCCCATCTCAACCAATTAAAAAAAAAGCTGGGCATGACAGCACATGTCTGTCATCCCAGCTACAAAGAAAGTAGAAATAGGACAGGCCTGGCCCACCATAAATGTGAGACCCAACTCAAAACAGTAACTAAAGCAAAACAGGCTGCGAGTTGAGCTCAAGAGACAGAGCACCTGCCTAGCAATGCAAGGCCCTCAGTTCAAACCCCAGTGCTATCAAAAAAAAAAAAACAAAGCAAAGAAGGGCTAAAATCTTTACCCACCATAACAGGAAAGCAACAGGCTATTTGAAATGAAGAAACCATTTACGTACATTATGGTAAAACCTGGAGGTAAATTCTGGTAACAACAGCTAAGAGTTTTAAAATGTTAACAGAAAGGAGGATGGGGGGGTGTGCAATAAAAGTAGTGACAGTATTTAAATTTTTTTTTTCAAGACAGGATTTGGCTATGGAGTCCACAGGCTTGCCCTGAATTTGAGATCCTCCTGCCTCAGCTTCCCAAGTGCTTGGATTACAGGCATGCATAGCCATACCTGGCTAGTGTTTGACTCGAGATTATAAAAACGTGATGTCTGGATAAAATTATCTTTTAAGGAGAAGGAGAAGAAAAGGCACACACGGGAAAGGAAGAGGAGACGAAACGGGGAAGTGGGCACTGCCGGATTCCACCTGGCTTCGTAACAGGCAAGTGTCCATCCGGGAATTAGTGCAGCCAGGAGTTGATTAAGCATGGAGAGGTCCCCAACAATCAGACCCATGAACTGTGTATTGTAGTCTCCCCCATCGTCAGGGTCACTTGAGGGCTGTCACAGATGAAAGTCTGCCAGGAACCAGACGGTCCACTGTGTCACCGGGCAGAGTCCCAGGAGCACAGACCACTATGCTGCCCTAGTCACCTTCTCTGTGCTCCCCAAACCACTGAAATCTCACACTGACCCTTGTGAGTGACCCTGTCTCCACGTACAGGTGAGGAGGAGACAGGGAAAAGTAAAACAACCTTCTCAGAGCAAGGAGGTGACAGACAGGGGACGGGAGCCGGCATCTGTCTCCACACTGAGAGAGAAGACAGCCTGACCCAGTAGTGTCTGACACTTGACCAAATCAGTGTCCGACTGCAAAGGCCAGGTACGCAGCCCACTAGAACCTGTGCACAGTCCCCAAAGGTCAAAACGCACTCAGGAATGAATTCACAAGGATTCCACAGGCCCTTGGCACACGCCAGGAAACTTGCCCACAGACTTGCTTTAGGGTTCTAAATTGTTTCTTCTGACACTGGGTACGGGACGTGTGTACATGCTGTGTTTGGGGACCTGAACATCAGAGAAAAGTCTCTGGAGGAGACTTACTGCTTAGATTTGGAGGGGAAGGGAAGGAGTTGTTTTGTTTTGGTTTTGTGTTGTGTTTGCTTTTTCCAGATTTGAAGAATATGCCCTTCAGAGACCCCTCCCCCCCTCAAAAAAAAGAAGAAAATGAATGAACAGATAGACAGACAGACAGACTCCCAGTAGCTGGGCACTGGTGGCTCACGCCTATAATCCTAGCTACTCAGGAGGCTGAGATCAGGAGGATCAAGGTTCCAGGCCAGCCTGGACAAAAATGGTTGGGAGACCCCATCTCAAAGGAAAGGCTGATGCCAGACTCCAGCAGCTCACACCTGTAATCCTAGCGACTCAGGAAGCAAAGATGAGGAGGATTGCAGTTGGAAGCCAGCCCGGACAAATAGTTTGAGAGACCCTATCTTGAAAAACCCAATACAAAACGGATGGCGAAGTGGCTCAAGTGGTAGAGCACCTGCCTAGCAAGTGTGAGGCCCTGAGTTCAAATCCCAGTACTTTAAAAAAAAAAAAAAAAAAAAAAACCTGGACCTAGCAAATTCAGGAAGAAAAAGAAATTGGAAGAAAACCAAGCAGTGAGGCCAGCCGCTTGGCCTCCCATGGGGTGGCGAGTTCACTGAGTCCGGAAGGAGCCTATTGAAGGACTGTGTGAAAGGCAGTAAATTTGTTCTTAGTTTCACCTTGTTCTTAGCGGAATTAGGAAGGGGGTGTGAGTGAAACTAGACAGAAGAAATTCTTTTGTTGTTTGGAGATTAGAAATCACAATAACAAAATCATTAGTTGGCAGGAAGATTTGGATCAAAGTTTAACTCCAAGGTCAACCCAGCTTACGATTACATGAGTACTCATTAATAAAGAAACCGAGAGAACCAACACAAAGAAAGATAGGATCAGTCCCACACTCTAACCTTTTCTTCTCACCTTTTCAGAGCAAGAAACAACTTCCATAGAGACAAAAATCAACATTGCACAGAAAAGATAAGAATTACTTACAGCCAGGTGAGGTGGCTCACGCCTGTAATCCTAGCAACTCAGGAGGCCGAGATCAGGAGGATCGAGATTTGAAACCAGCCCGGGCAAGTAGTTCTCAAAACCCTATCTCAAAAAACCCTTCACAAAAAAGGGCTGATGGAGTGGCTCAAGTGGTAGAGCACCTGCCTAACAAGCATGAGGTCCTGAGTTCAAACCCCAGTGCCACCAAAAAAATAAATAAATAAAAAATAACTACCAATACCTAAGGAGGCCATTTAATCATACATAAAGTTGGAATGCTGTCTTAATTATTCAATACCCTTGGATTTCTCTGGATTACTCCAAATAAGAACTTGAAGGTATTAAAAGCGCAGGTATAATTAAATTTACTAAAGTTACCATTGTTGTTATAAAAATGATCTACTGATCAAATCTCTAGGAGACAGGATTTCTGGTGTCAAGAACTAACTCGGTAATTATCTAATCACAGATTCATAAACCTTCACACAGTTTGGTCCTCTTCAATTTCAAGCTAAGTGACATCAATGAGCAGAACACGGACACACAGGTGCAAATTAGGGAAGGCACACTGGTACCAGTTGCACTGTACTAAAACTGAAATGCCTTACCGTCTGCACATCTTTTCAAGTAGCCGTTGGCTAGCCATACTCACGTGATTTAGTTTTTTCAAAATCTCTATTTCAGTTTGAACATTGAGAGCCGGATCCTATGAGAAATAAAATACCATTGGAGCTTATAAATATTACCAACAATAATAGCCAGTATTTTGGGGGGGAGGTACTGGGGTTTGAACTTGGGGCTTGGTGCGTAGTAGGCAGGCGCTCGAAAGTTTGAGCCACTCCGCCCGCCCCCTTGCCACTATTTTTTAAATGTTTAGTTGAACATTTGAGTAAAGGCTACCTGCACACCAAACCAGGCTCCACTCACACAAGGAAACCAAGACTCTGAGCTGGGGACGAGGCTCAAGTGGTACACCACCTGCCTAGCAAGCAAGCAGGAGACCCTGAGTTCGAGCCCCAGTACTGGGAAGAAAAAGAAAGAAATCAAAACCCAGATATCAATGAATTAAAAAAGTCACCTAAAATTCCTCTGCAAGGTGCTGGGCAAATTGCAAGTGTTCAATGACTAGCCAGACGCTGTTGTCAGTTCTTTTGAGAGAGTCACCTCACATGAGCCTCCTGATTCCCAAATGAACTGGATTCTCTCCCATCATTCTCCTTTTACAAAAGCTGCCACTGAGGCCCAGATCCACAGCCAAAAGCCAGCGCGTTTCCCCTACAACAGAGCTCACTTGCAAGCTCCAGTTGGGAGTTATGGCATTATTTACATTCAGAAGAGTGACAAAAACGAATGCAAACCATGGCCAAGAAGGTGCTTAATTAAACTACATGAAGAAAGCACTGAATTCAGTGCAGACACTGAATCCAATGGCAACTGCAGGCTACCATGGGCAGCTAGACTCAGGATCCCAAGTTGTCCTCTCTTACAGTTGCAAAAGGATAACTGGGATCACTCAGCTGCCTGGGCTACACCCTCCCCGAGCAAAGAGGATACAGGATTACATATTTATATAAAATGGCCTTCAGCGAAGACACCCCAGATGGTGAATTTTGAAGGCCTGGCCCTTCCTACCGGCTGTTACACTCATTACAGCATCAGTGCGTGTGTGCTCTGATAAAAAGAGGGTCGTAAAACACCCGCCTCAATTCTCAGAGTGAAACTGAGAAGGAAAATGTTACTAGAAGTTTTTAACAATCTGGTAGGTATTTTCTTATTTTCTTCTCCCCAGCATGGGAAGCAAATCCAGAATCACAGGGGAAAAAGATCTGCGGCCAAGCCAACACGGAAAGGAAATTCCTCTGGCCATGTGAGAATGGAATTGTCTAGGGGAAAAAAATAAATAAATAAATCTTAAAGAATTTTAAAGTATAATAGCCAGAAACAGCTGGCGGCAAAGGAAAATGTGGTTAGGGGCTGTGTCTGACGTGACTTTGCTGGGTCACGTGTGCATACACCAATATGTTTTGTCACATCGCTCATATAAAAAAATGTGGATTAAGAAAATGTAATGAAAGAAGAACCACTATAGAGAAATTATTTAAATTTTAAAACCCTGAAGGCTGGGAATGTAGCTCAATGGTAGAGCACTTGCCTAGTATGCATGAGTCAGACCCTGGGTTTGACTCCCAGCATCACCACCACCCCCAAAAAAATTTTATTTTATTTAAAATTCTGTAAGTAATCCATACAGTAAGATATTCATTGACGCAGCAACCAGAAGAGCCAAGACTAGCTGGCCACGGTGGCTCACATCTGTAATGCCAGCTATTCAGGAGGCAGAGATCAGGAGGACTGAGGTTCAAAGCCATCCAGGCAAATAGTTTGTGAGACCAGATCTCACAAAACCCATCACAAAAAAGGGCTAGTGGAGTGGCTCCAGGTGTAGGCCCTGAGTTCAAACCTTAGTACAACAACAAAAGAAAGTCAAGACTTGAGAAGTACTTAAATAACAACCAGAGAAACAGTGAGCATTCGATGATAAAGTTGGTGCCACCCTCTCTTTGTGGATGACTGTGACAGCTTCTACAAAGCATCCAGGCTCTTCCAGACCATTTGTACAGAGTTCAACTCAGACCCTCCCAACTGAAGTCAGACCAGGCAAAGTACAGTCAGTGCTGCCTTATTTACCGACTGGCTCTTTGGACCTCCCCAGTGCTCTCCAGGGCACACAGGGAAGAGGTTCAGGAGGGTGGGGACAGGCACATTGTTACTCTTCTTTGCCATTGTGGTTGTCATGGTTGGAAACATGCAATAAGAAAGATACTCATCAATTTGTAGAATGAGTCAAAATGATACATTATTGTGAGAGTGCTAGGGATTACACATTGACAGGATTGCTTCAAAAAATATAATAAAATGTGCTGACTAGCTGGAGGAGTGGCTCCAGTGGTAGGGCGCCTGCCTAGCAAGTGCCAGGCCCTGAGTTCAAACTCCAGTACTGCAAAAAAAAAAAAGAAAGAAAAAGTTCAAAAGAGAGTGTATACTTAGGACAGATTTAAATCTAGCTTTTATAAGATTTTTCACTTTTACTTTCCATTAGAACTCTGTAACTCTTAAATTTGCTTTGTCAGGACAACCCAGGAATTTCGATAAAGTTGATTAAAGACTCAATCAACACACAGGATGTGTCAGGAAAAGTTTACGCCATCGTGCATATATGGGCAAGCAGGATTCAAACTCTACCTACAGGATGACTTCAAGCACCTAAAAACACAAATCTGTCTGAACCCAGACTAGAAAGAAAACTGAAAACAGCTGTGGGGTTACAGTGTGGGATTATGTCTGGATTTTTTTTTCCCCTCTAATTTCTTTTCAAAATTATTGTAAAACAATCCTATAACTTTGAATTGGAAAAAAGAAAAATCCGTATTGCTGTGTACGTTATTGTATACAACTAAGTACTCCTGGAAACAAATTATCAGTAAGGCAGTGTTCCTAGCTTAATGAAGTCACTTAAAATGTTTTCAGCGTTTTTTGGTAATCTTGACGGTGACATGACTTGGGGAAGGTGTGAAGCCATGCAGAAGGGGGCTGTCAGCCACAAATGCAGTACTTACAACCTCTCTGGAACAGTTAATAGCAAACTTCCTTTTGCTGATAATCTTTACGGCTACCTTCTTGCACGTTTTCCGTTCGAAAGCCAACTTCACCTCTCCGCAAGCGCCACTAGAGGGAACAACACAGGGACACTCAGGGGGTTAAAAATCATGAGACCAGGCTCACCCGAGTCTGCCTTAACCCTAAGAAGCATAGAAGAGTCCATATAACAAATCTGCCAGTGGTGAGCCTTTGAAACAACACTGAGTCCAAATTCCACTCGTGAGCTGGGTGACACAGACTTCAGTATTTTTTTTTTTCCAGTGGTACTGGGGTTTGAACTCAGGGCCTCATGCTTGCTAGGCAGGCGTTCTACAGCTTAAGCCACTCCACCAATCCTGTTATGTGTTAGGTAGCTTTGAGATGGTTGGCTTTGAACTGTGATCCTCCTGATTTCTGCCTTCAGAGTAGCTGGGATTACAGGTGTGAGCCACGGGCGCCCCACTCAGACATCAGTCTTATTACAGCCCCAGACTGTGAGATTCTGAGAAAGAGGCTAAGCAAAATGAGAGTGAAATTACTTAACCAAGAAGAGAGAAAAACATCAACGCAGGACAATGTTCCCCAGCCAAAAACGAGTACCCCAAAACAAGCAACAGAAAACAGAATCTGCAAGTCAATTCTTTTCAGTGATATTTTTCTGTCTTTATTCTCTGTCTTCAAACAAAGTCATAAGCAGTTTGGTATTATGAATTGCACTGCAAAGGTACTACACAATTAACCTGCTTATGGCAACCTCTCATAAACATTTTCAGTTAGCCAGACACCAGTGACTCACGCCTGTAATCCCAGCTACTTGGGAGGCTGACATCTGGAGGATTAAAGTTTGAGCCCAGCCCGGAAAAATAGTTCATGAGACCCCATCTCCAAAATAACCAGCACAAAATGTACTGGAGGTGTGGCTCAAACAGTAGAGCACCTGCTTTGCAAGCATGAGGTCACATTCAAAAAAAAATTTTAATTAACTAAGATACTACTGATGGGGAGAAAGGCTATCTAGGTTACTCAGCACACACTTAATCCTACAGAGGTTCTGTCCTGCAAAGCTTGGGTCAGGTCAAGGCGATGGCTTCTGAGTCACCATCACCCACTGGCTGCCTGAAGGGGACCATGGCAACTATGGCCAATTTTGAGGGTGTGAGGTGAGAGGTTTACAAGCCATCTTTTTTCACTGTGTTAAATACACTATATGAAGTCCATCACTATAACTCAAGTGTACAATTCAGTACCATTCCAGACATCCAGTGTTCTGCAAACCCGCCATCTAGTTCCAGAATATTTTCATCACCCAAGTGGAAGCTTTCAGCAACGAAGCAAACACCTGCCATTCTACCCTGCCCCCGTCCCCACCCCTGGCAACCTTCTGATCTGCCCACTCTGCGCATTTCGCATCATCGAAATCAGGTCGTACGTGGCCTTTTTTTCAGGTTTCTTTCACTTTAGCATGTTTTAAGTTGACCCACACTGTGACACATCTCAACATTTCATTCTTTTGTTTGTTTAACACTGCATCTTGCTATGTTGCCCAGGCTGGTCTCAAGTGATCTTGTGGACTCAAGTCATCCTCCAGCCTCAGCCTCCCCAGTAGCTGGGACTACAGGTATGCACCACAGCGCCTGGCTACTTCATTCCTTTTTATAACTGAGTAATATTCCATTATCTGAAAAGAGCACATTTCATTTATCCATCCACTATCAGGGGAGGAGAGGAATCTTTTCATGTAGCACAGGAGGGCCTCAAATTCACGATCCTCCTGCCTCAGCCTCCTGAGTGCTGGGATTACAAGTGTGTACCACCATGCCTGGCTTCCATTCATCTTTTGAGGGACACTAATTTGGGTTGTTTCCACCAGGCGGCACTGGGGTTTGAACTCAGGGCCTCACGTTTGCTAGAGAGGAGCTCTACTGCTTGAGACAAGCCACCAGCCCCGGCTTCCATCTTCCTGTGAGTGATTTCTTAGATATGGCACCAAAAGCAACCAGAGGAAAAGAGGAACAGACCTCATGATGGTGAATGGAGCTCTTGTGAACATTCACGCACGTTTTGATTTGGACATCTGTTTCCAATTTGGGGGCCTCTCTGTACCTACAAGGAAAAGTGCCAGCCGTATGGCTGCTCGGGCTAACTTCTGGAGACTGGACTGCTTCCCCAGAGGTGGTGCCATTCCACATCCCCACCAGCTCCCACCACGCCTGTTGCCTCTGTTTACCCATCACAGTCATAGGAGGTCAAGGCGAGAGGGGTGGAGAGGATTGCAGTATGGCTTTTGTTTCTGTGTTGCTGTTTTGTCTTCAACGTGACTTCCTTTGCATTTCCTGAATGACTGGTGTGCTGAGCACCATTTCTCACGCTCGGGGTTATTTGCACATCTTCTTTGGAACTCTTTGCATGTTTTTTGTTCCAAATCACTTTCTTCGTAGCATTACATGAGTTCTGTGACTCCATGTGTTTTGATCAAAGTCACCCTCAATTATGTTGCCTTAAGCCTCTTACTCCCTTTGCAAACAGTACTTAGGGCATTTTCTTTTTTGGTCGTGGTGGTAGTGGGGTTTGAACTCAGGGCCTCATGCTTACTAAGCAGGTATTCCACCGCTCGAGCCACTCAACCAGCCCTGCTATTTTCGTGTGTGTGTGTGTGTGTGTGTCTGTGTGTCTGTGTGTGAGAGAGAAAGAGAGATCCACTTTGGTCATGTTCACCCTCCAGTACCCTCTCCTTCCCCTTCCTTCTCCTGCCAACTGCCCACCCCCTTCCCCGAGCCAGTTCCTTTCTTATGGCACGTTCCACTTTTATTACTGTCATTTTAGGTCTAGGCTCCACATCTGAGCAAAACAACGCAATGCTTGGCTTTTTGAGCTTGGTTTCTGATGATTTCCCCTTCCATCCATTTTCCTGCAAGTGGCATCGTTTCGTTCTTTTTTGGTGGCAGAGGGGTTTGAACTCACGCTTGCTAAGCAGCCACTCTACCACCTGAGCCACTCCGCCAGCCCTTCATTCTTCTTTCCAGCTGAACAATACTTGCTGTGTACACAGACCTCATTTTCTTTATCCACTCATCAGCTGTTGTCACCCGGGCTGAGTCCATGGCATGGTCCTGGGAACACCTGTGACGAGCACAGGTACGCAGGGGTCTCATGCATTGTGCACTCCTCAGAGCCCATTGTTTCCTTTTGCTGTTGACTTCTGAGAGCAACTCATCAGATCCAGCCACCTTGTAAGCGAGCCAGATGGCAAGGGGATTTCCAGTAACATAGAATGATGTCTCTCCTCTTGCTGATCTTTCTTTAGTAATCATTTTCCACAAAGATACTGACGGTGGAGCAAACTTATTTAACAAGTTGGTAATAAATTAAAAGTTCCCGATTTTAAGGTATTTCTTCCTTGTTCCTTCTTCTTTCCCTCCCTCTCTCCCTTTTTCTTTAATTCTGAGGCTTGTTATGTAGCCCAGGCAGGTCTGAAGTCCTGGAATTGATGGAGTGCACCACCAGGCCCAGCTCAATTTTAACATCGAATACAGAAAATACCAGTAGGTTTTAGCTCTTTGGGCCCTCAAGTCAAGTTTTAATTCTTGTTCATTTGTCTTGCATTGCTGAGGATGAAACCGAGGGCCAAGGGCTTGGTGGGCCAGCACTCTGTCACTATGTGACTTCCTCAGCCCTGTCCTCAGTAATTTTTTAGAGTGACAGGGGTCCTGTACTACACATTTTGAGACCACTGTCATAGCTTCTATTCAATGCTCTGCTGTATTTCATGTCCCAAGAGGGCACAAATCCTAAACAGTGCAAAGATACCCTTCTGGCCACTGTGACAGAATTCCAGTAACAAAAGCTGGAAAGATTTATTTTGGCTCAAGGTTTCAGAGGTGTCAGTCTATCACAGTGGACAGAGCATGGTAGAGTTCACACCATGGTGGCCTGGAAGCAGAGAAGATCTACAGAAAGAAGCCTGGGCAACATAAAGCTCCCCAGGACACCTGGTGACCTGCTTCCTCAACTAGGCCCTGCCTTCTACCTCACCACCTCCTCTCCCAACGCCTCAGACTCCACTCCACCACCCTGATCGGTCACTTCCCAACAGCCTCTCAGCCTCAATACAGGAGCCTGAGGGGGACATTTCATATTCAAACCAGAGCATGCGACCACAGTGTGTCTTCAGAAGCCGGTGAAATGTTCAGAAACTGATGGTGGTGATGCTTTCAAATAAATCACGAAATTGCACTTTTTCCTTTTTCTTCCTTTTTTTAATGCTGAGGGTTGAATTTAGGGTCTTACACTAAATTACACACTTAATTTAAAAGAGTGAATTAAGCTAGGAATATAGCACAGAGACCTGGATTTGAACCACGGCATCTCACTCACACACACACACACACACACACAAAGTATCCCTGCGCATGAAGCACAGCTCAGGAAAAGCTGCTTTCCCTAAGTCATCATCAGTAAAATTTATAACACAAGTTTATTTCAATTGATCATTGCCAAAAAATCAATAATACATCTATCAGGAATAGTTGTCCTACAACTCTGTCAGGAATGGATAACGAGTTATAAAACCAGGTACAAAATATTAACCAAAGACAAATGTGTAAGAAAAAAAAACCCGAAGTGCAATCTGTTCTGTAAGGAAAAACAGGAATTTACCTTCCAAGGGTTTTGGACATGATGTACTCGTCTCGTAATTCCTTAGGATAAACTGATTGGTCATCTACAGTCAGGTCAAAAAATACAAAAACTAGGAAAAAAGGCAGAAACAGGCTTGTTAATTCATACAATTAGAAAACTGGTTCTGAAATGTAGCTGTCACGGGGAATATAAGACAATTGTTTTAATTACATTTAACATGCAACCCTGGAGGAATCAGTGAACTAAGCCAACCCTGTCATGAAAGCCATGAGAAAGACAGCCGATTTCATCCCTCAGTGGAAATACACAGCCTCGCTCTCACAACAGTGTAGAAAACCTTTAACCCATCTGCTGTTCACACTCACTGACCTCAGATCGTTACCAAATAACACTATCTCAAAATACCCGTGCAAGTTAACACTGGCCTAGAACCAAAAAGCAATTGGTCTTCGTCTACAAGAAATGTTCTAGGCAAATAAACATCCCAATACAAATTCAACCACAATCCAGGCGCCAGCAGCTCACATCTGTAATCCCAGCTACTTGGGAGGCTGAGATCAGGAGGATCCCAGTTTGAGGCCAGCCTAGGCAAATTAGATCTCAAGACCCCCATCTCCAAATCAACCAGACCCAAATGGACTGGAGGTGTGGCTCAAGCGGCAGAGCACCTGATTTACAAGTGTGAAGCCCTGAGTTCAAATCCTAGTTCCACCAAAAAAGAAAAAAAAATTAACTAAGACACCAGAGTTCAATCTTGATGCTAACGTACTTAATTTTACTTATTTTAGGCATATTCTAGAAGGCCACAGAACAATTTTCCTTTTACTCAAGAAGTAATAAAAACAAATCAGCAATAAAAAAATTGCCATAAGACCGTAATCTTACCCTTATTTCTAGACAGTGAAAGTGCAATTTCAGAATTGTTACTCAAAGGACGGCGTTTTCCCTTCCCCACCAGCTCTGCATTTACAAAGGTTCCATTCCCGCTGTGGTCTTCTATGCATGCAATGTAGGAGTTTTTGGGACCCATTTCCTAAAACAGGGAACACGTTATTTCAAAGTTTAACAGCAGAGATTTACAGTGGGAAGACATCCAAGAGTAGTGACTAGAGATCACCAGGTCGCCCAGCACATGGACGTTTGTCACCTACCCTGAAAATCCGGAAGTGTTTCTTGCTGTATGTCCGGTATTTATCTGTTCTTTTCAGCAGGGGTTCATCAAAGCAATAGTCACAGCTTTTGTCCCTCCCAAACCAGTAGCTGTCATTAACGCAGTCTGGAATACAAGGCATATACCGGAGGGCTGGTAAATTTCAGGTATCAAACACATTTCAAAACCAGGCACCAGTGGCTCACGCCTGTAATCCCAGCTATTCAGGAGGCAGAGATCAGGAGGATCTCAGTTCAAAGCCAACCCAGGCAAATAGTTCTGCAAGACCCTATCTTGAAAAAACTCATCACGAAAAAGGGCTGGTGGAGTGGCTGAAGGTGTAGGCTCTAAGTTCAAACACCAGTACCACAAAAAAAAAAAAAAAAAGTTTCAAAATTATTCCTCAAATCTACTTATGGGAAAAGGGCCTAAAAAGACAATCAAATTATAGATTTGATTTATCAAGAAGATTTGTAAGCGTGAAACATGGGAGAGCAGGTGTGCAGTATAGCTCTGTGACAGAGAGCACACTTAGCATGCTCGAGGCCCTGGGATCAACCCTCAGCAACAGCAACAAAATGCGGGTGAAAAACAAAGTTTGACAGCCACAGGTTTAATCAGTGATAGTTTATACAAAACCACGAAATAACAAGCAGCCATTAAAAGTCTCAATTTTCAATGACTAGGAAGAAGAATGTCCTGGTGGGTACCTTCCTAAGACTTCCTGTCTTACTTAAAACCTAAGCATGGCCTGCTGGCTGCTCAAGGTCAAGCCCTCCCCTTGGACCTCTCTCCCCTTGTTCCTTATACCCAGCCCCCCTGGCCTGCTTCACTGCCCAAATATGACAGATGCATGGGGTCTTTTGGCCTTTCTACCTCCTTCCCCCAACTTTCTCGTCCCTTTGTGTGTGACTCAAATATCTCCCATTCAGCTTTCCACATAAGCAGAGCCTTACCTCACCTTCCACCTGTCACCATAATCAATCCTGCTCTGTGGCCATCCTAGGTAGGGGCCATAAATGAGCCCTGAGTTCAAACTCTGGTACTGCCAAAAAACGAGTACAGTGACAGGCCAGTGCCTGTGGCAGCCAGGTAAAGACACACTTGGGAAAATATTCCCAAATAATACCACAAAGGACTAACTTCCCTAATAAAGATAAAGTCTGTACAAATCAAAAGTATTAAAGGCAAACCAGTAAAATGTGGCAAAGCATATAAAAACACAGTTTATAGACAGAAATACAAATAACTCAAACATATGAAAAAAGTCTACGCTAACCCAATGCAAAGTTGGTTTTTTTTGCAGCACTGGGGTTTAAACTCAGGGTCTACACCTTGAGCCACTCCACCAGTCTTTTTTTGTAAAGGGTTTTTTCAAGATGGGGTCTCACAAACTATTTGCCTAGGGCTGGTTTCCAACAGCAGTCCTCCTGATCTCTGCCTCCTGAGTAGCTGGGATTACAGGCGTGAGCCACACCACCCAGCTTACAATGAATTTTTAAAAACCAGAACCACATTCAGTATCTATGTTTCCTCTACCAGACTGATAAAAAACAGAAAATCCCAGAATACACTGTGTGGGCAAGAGGCCTGGAGAAGCGGGTACACTCCCACACTGTTATGAAACATCACCTACGTAACAAGACAACCATAAAAAAACTGGAAGCAAGGGGTGGGAATGTAAGCCAGTGGCAGGGTGTTTGCCTAGCGTGCTCAAGGCCCTGGGTTTGATTCCTAGCACAAAAAAAGAATTGCAACTCCAGTAGAGGGGTATATGTACTCAAAACAACAGAAAACAGGTCCTCAAAGAAATGACTGCATGTCAGTGTTCATCCAGCACCTAACACGAAAGCCACGAGGCGGGAAAATCCCAAATGTACCTCAGTGGATGAATGCACAAACAAACTGTGGGATTTACACGTTATGGAGTACTATTCAGGCATAAAGATGGATGGAATCCTCACACACACTACAGCCCGGATAAACAGTTGAAGTGTTATACTAAGTGAAAGAAGCCTGACACAAAGGCCACGGTGCTGGATGCTACTTACAGGAAACAGAACAGTTAAACTCATAAAAATGAAATGCCAACTCGGTTCAGTGGTGTGTGTCTCAAGTTCCAGGAGGCTGAAGCAGGAGAGTCATGAATTTGGAGACCCACATGGATGTCGTAGTGAGTTCAAGGCCACCCTGTACTACAAAATGAGACCCTGTCTCAAAAAACAAAATACACAAAGCTACTTACTCATTGACCAGAAACTCCGTTTCTCGTCACTTACTCCTCCAGACGGAGCAGACCATGAGGGTGTGTGCTCAAGGCCATTTAGACTGCACGATCATTCTCACCGAAAATTACAGGACAACTTCAGTGTCCAGGGGCACAGGGCTAGCTCAGGAAATCTATACAGCTTCAGAAATAGAGAACTGTTCTGGGGTTTGAACTCAGGGCCTACACCTTGAGCCACTCTATCGGCCCTATTTCGTGATGGGTTTTTTCAAGATAGGGTCTCTTGAACCATTTGCCTGGGGCTGGCTTCGAACCTCGATCCTCCTGATCTCTGCCTCCAGAGTAGCTGGGATTACAGGCGTGATCCTGTAATTAGACATCTAATAGAAGGATGTCTAAGATACATTAAGTATAAAAAGCAAATTATGAGCCAGCTGCCAGGTGGCTCACGCCTATAAACCTAGCAACTCAGGAGGCTAGAGATCAGGAGGATTGTGGTTTGAGGCCAGCCCAGGGGAAAAAGTTTGCAAGACCCTATCTCCAAAATAACCAGAGCAAAATGGACTAGAAGTATGGCTCAAGCAAAAGAGCACCTCTCTTGCAAGTTCAAAAGCCCTGAGTTCAAATCACAGTAACCAAAAAAAAAAAAGACCCTTAAGTTCTCCCAAATATTTAAAGAGTCTTCCCAAACTTTTCCAAGAAACACAAGAGGCAACCTTTTCAACTTGAAGCCAGCAGTAAAATCCTGATACCAAAACCAGACAAGACATTCCTAAGAAAACGACATGCTTTAATAATCATCAACAGAACAGAGGTAAACTAAACCCAGCAACCTAGGAAAAGGTCCAGGCATTGCGGTGCATGTCTGTAGTCCAAGCTACTCTGGAGGTTGAGACAGGAAGACCATTGGAGCTCCTGAATGAGGTCAAGATCAGCCTGGACAAGACTCTGGCTCAAAAAACAAACAAAAACTAAAAAGATAATAGTGACCGAGAATCAGTCCAGGAAAGCATGGTTGACTCTGAAAACCAATGAATACACAATAACAACAAAAAACAAGACAAAAATCACAAGATCATCCTTATCGATGCAGGAGTTTTTGACAAATCCATCAGCCCTTAGTAGTAAAAAATACTCCAGAAACTAGGAATGGGAGGAATTTTCTCAACCTGACAAGGCTTATACAACACCCACAGACAGCATCACACTCATTGGTGAGAGACTGAACTCCTCGTGTCAGAAACAAGTCAAGATGTTCACCCTCCCCACTCCGATTCAATGTTCTACGAGAAGACCAACACACAAAAACCACTTGTGTCCTGTATACTAGCAATGAAGAAACCTAAACTGAAATTTAGAAAGCCACTCCATTTACAATAGCATAAAAGTCATAAAACATACAAAATGGTTCAGCAAACGAAATGCAAATCTTGTGCCAGATACTGATGGCTCATGCCTGTAATCCCAGCTACTCAGGAGATCAGGAGGATCACAAGATCCTATATCGAAAAAAACCAACACAAAAATAGACTGGTGGAGCGGCTCAAGTGGTAGAACACCTGCCTAGCAAGTGTGAGGCCCTGAGTTCAAAGCCCAGTGCCACAGAGAGTGAGAAAGGAAGGGAGGGAGGAAGAAGCAAAGGACCTGAAAAAACATTTCTCAAAAAAAAAAATATATCCACAGTGGAAAATAATTTTTAAGGTGGTTCCTTAAAAAATTAAACATAGTCTCCAGCAATTCTACTCCTAGATATACAACAAAAAGTGAAAATGGTGGCTCAAACAGATACTTATATGCAAAAATTCAAAGCAACACTTTTCACAATAGCCAAAGACTGGAAAGCACACCACTGTCCATCAACAAAAGACGGACAGGGCTGGGGTAGCTTGGCGGTAGAGTCCTGGGTTCGAGCCCCAGCACACACACGAAAAGTTCTGATATGCAATACATGTTTTTGTTGTGTTGTGGTTTTTCATCATTCCAAATAGACACTTTGTACCTACTAAGAACTCTCAATTGCCCCAGACTCTCACCAGCTCTGTCTTGAAATCTCTCATCTACTTTGTGCATCTAAGAATTTACCTATTTTAGAGACTTCCTAAGTGGAAAAACTATTTGTCCCTTTCTGCCTGGCTTTGTTCACATAGCATAATGTTTTCAGGTGTCATCCATGTTGCTTCACGTCAGCTAGGAATGTAGTTCAGTGATACAGTGCATCCTTACATATGCAAGGTCCTGGGTTCAAAGCCCAGTACCACCGAAAAAAAAAGACTGCAAGCTCAGTCTTTAAAAAAAAAAAAAAAAAAAAAAGAGCAAAATCAGGACTCATACTTCTGGATTTCAAAACTTAGCTTTCAAAACTTAACCACAATGCCACAGTAATCAGGATATCATGACACTGGCAGGAAGATAGATACATAAACCAATGGAATAGAATCCAGAGGCCAGAAACAAAACCTCACAGTATGGTCACAATTCTTAAGAGTGCCAAGGGGAAAAGAATAGTCTCTTCCAGAAATGTGCTAAGAGAACTGGATATCCGTATGCAAAAGCATAAGCCTAAAAATAAAAATAAAAAAAATAAAGAGACACAGGACTTTGGTGATTCCAAGGTTCTAGCTGTGCCACAGGGAAAGTTAAAAAAAAAAAAAAAAAAAGCGTGAGCCTGTACCCCCACCTCACACCGCATATAAAACCAGCTCCAAAGTGGATCAAGAACCCAAGCATAAGAGCCAATGCCACAAACTATTTCAAAGAAAAGTAAAGATGTAAATCAATAAAAATCACAAGGTTTTTTTTTTTAATGTAGTGAGTATTTTATGTGGATCACCCTCTAATGTGTTTTGTCACTTGTAAAAGTGATGTATCCCATGTTGTACTTTCTCATCATCCCTGCTTCCCAATCACTCAAGTACCAAGGTTCTTAGGTACTTGGGTGCTGATCACTTAAGCTAGGTGACTGAGACCAGACTGAGCAAAGATGGAGATCTTGACCAAAAAAAAAAAGTCATAGCCAGGTGCCTTAGCCAGGAGGCTGAGATCAGAGGATTATAGTTCAATTCCAGCCCAGAAAAATAGTTCAAGAGGCCCCAATTTTAAAAAACACAGAGCAAAATGGACTGGAGGTATGGCTCGAGAGGTAGAATTGCACCTGAATTGCAAGTGTAAAGCCCTGATTTCTCACCAAAAAGAAAAGTCATAAAAAAGCAAAAAGTAGCTCCAAATGTTTACTTCCAGATTAAATACTGTTATATTTTGTTTCTCCATTTTTCACTGTTTTTTTGTTTTGTTTTGTTTCATTTGAGACAGGGTCGCTGCCATGCAGCCCAGGCTGGTCTCAACTCAGCCTCCTGAGTGCTGGGATTACAGCACTCACCACCACATACAGCAACCTTTTTTTCTTTTGGCGATTCTGGAGATCGAACTCAGGGCCTCACACATGCGAGGCAAGTGCTCTACCACTGAACCACACTCCTTGCCCCATTGTATTTTCAATTCATTAAAGTAGAACATGAACTAAAACAGAACAGTGAGTGATAAAGTATCAAGTAGCACATTAGACATTCATTTCTTTTTTGTGTTGGTTTGATTTGGTTTTGGTTTTTTGAAACAGGGTTTCGCCATGTAGCCAAGGCTGGCCTTGATCTTGAGATCCTACTCCCTCCACTTTCCAACTGCCGGGATTACAGGCATGTACCACCACACTAGGCTAAAACTAAGTCAAGCAAGTCAGCCAAAAGCATTTCTTTATGTTATTATTTTCTGTATCACTAATGTGGAGTTCAAAAAGATTTTTATGAAGTCATTTTAATGTACGAGGAAAGAAAAATACAAACATATTCTTAGTAAGCTTGGGACCAGTAGGTATCAGAAAGGATCAGCATTTTTGAAGTACAGAGTTGGCTCTTTTGAGACAAAAACAAGTAACCAACAGATAGTCAATAAATATATGTCTTCCCTATTCTGAACAGCTCTGATGCTCAAAGTTGCAAGAAACCACAGCAGGGGCTGAGCGACAAGACTGCAATTAGATGATTTTTACAAGTTTGCATGAAATTGCATTTTTCTCAGGAGGGGTCCCCAGGTCCTCAGATCCTTGCATGGACAGCACAATGCAAATGCCCCTTTAGTATTTTGGAAAGAAGAAAGGAAAGCCATGCACTGCCCACCCTGGCCCATTTGGTTTTATGCTTTATCACCTCCAAACTCCAGCATCATTCCCGGAATGTCCTGAGCTCTCTGCTGCACCAAAGTTCTGTATACGATATAACAGAAGGTCTTACCAAGATTACAGAATCCATCCTGAAGGGCCCATAATCGAGCCCAAGGGGCAGGGACAGGCTCCTCGGGTTCTTGATCCTCGGGAATAGAATAGAGTTCCTGAGTGGACACAGTCTCCAAGGAACTCAGTGTCCCAGAGCTGGAGTGAGAAGACTGGCTGGAGGTGGGCCCGGTGCTGGTGGAGGAGCTGGAGGTGCCTTGGGACTGTGAGCAGGACCCGTGGGACTGGGTGAAGCCGCCTTGGGACTGGGTGAAGCTTCCTTGGGACTGGGTGAAGCCGCCTTGGGACTGGGTGAAGCCGCCTTGGGACTGTGAACAGGTCCCACTCCCATGGGCCTGCGAGGAGCTGCTGCCGTGGGCCTTCTGGCTCTCTAAGTCTGACTCCCGAGACATCACGACCTCAAAAAGTAAGTGCCCAACATTAAAGTGTGTTTTAAGTGACAAGGCTTAAAGTCCAAGAGTGAAGAATGGGGCTGGAGGTGGGGGGGGGGGGTGTCGCACGGTGGTAAACCACCTGCCTAGCAGGTCAGAGCCCTTGGGTTAGAACTCCAAAATCACTAATAAAAGGTAGAATGGACATATTGGCCAGGCACCATGACTCATGCCTGTAATCCTAGCTACTTGGTTAGCAGAGGTCAGGAAAATCATGGTTCAAGGCCAGCCTGGACAAATAGCTCGAGAGACTCCATCTCCAAAATAACTAGAGCAAAATGGACTGGAGGAGTGGCTCAAGCAGTAGAACACTTGCTTTGCAAGTGCAAAGCCCGGAGTTCAAACTCCAGTCCTACTAAAAAGAAAAACAAAAGGGGGAGCATATTATGATGGCCAAACAAAAAAAGAAAAATATACAGCAAGCATGCTCTACAAAAATTAAAATCCAGCTGGTGACTCACGCCTGTAATCCCAGTTACTTGGGAGGCACAGATCCGAAGGATCAAGGTTGGATAAACCCTAGGGGAAAATATATAAAATAAATTATTTAAAGCCTACAAATAAGTAAAAAGTAGTGAAAATGAGTTGGAAGAGCTCAGAAGAGCTCCCATGCATTCCATTTTAAAAGTTAGTTAGGAATAAAACAAACTTATTAACATAATAAACACTACATTTAAAGTTCACATATACTGTCAAAAGGGCAAGAAGAAGAGTCAAGTGGATGGGCTAGAGAAGACAGGTCCCTGGTTCTCCTTTTACCCCAGCCAGTCTCCAGAAGGGCTGCAATCACCTTTGTTTGGTTCAGTCTAGGTTCCACAACTGAGGGACAAGCCTCTTTTTTTTTTTTTTTTTTTAATTTTATTATTCATATGTGCATACAAGGCTTGGGTCATTTCTCCCCCCCTGCCCCCACTCCCTCCCTTACCACCCACTCCGCCCCCTCCCTCTCCCCCCCACCCCCTCAATACCCAGCAGAAACCATTTTGCCCTTATCTCTAATTTTGTTGAAGAGAGAGTATAAGCAATAACAGGAAGGAACAAGGGGTTTTGCTGGTTGAGATAAGGATAGCTATACAGGGCATTGACTCACATTGATTTCCTGTGTGTGGGTGTTACCTTCTAGGTTAATTCTTCTTGATCTAACCTTTTCTCTAGTTCCTGGTCCCCTTTTCCTATTGGCCTCAGTTGCTTTTAAGGTATCTGCTTTAGTTTCTCTGCGTTAAGGGCAACAAATGCGAGCTAATTTTTTAGGTGTCTTACCTATCCTCACCCTCCCATGTGTGCTCTCGCTTTTATTATGTGCTCAAAGTAGGGACAAGCCTCTTAAAGAGGCAGAACACAAACACGGCTCCTTTGTCATGCTGAGTGACTATGGGGCTCAGCCCTGCAGCATCCTAACTGGCCTTGCAGCTTTGACGAAATCTGAAATCTGAAGGAAGCCAATCTTTAGATTACAGGGGACCACAACAGAGGCTCCCACCCTTGAATGACACCAGAATGGCCAGTAGAGTCAAACTTTCAATGTTGACCTAAACAGATAGTTTTCTTTTCTTTTTGGTAGTACTGGGGTTTGAACTCAGGGTGCACTTGTTAGGCAGATGCTCTACCACTTGAGACACACCTCCCGTGCATTTTGCTCTGGTTATTTGGGAGATCGGGTCTGGAGAACTATTTGCCAGGGCTGCCTTTGAACTTCTATCCTCCTGATCTCAATCTCCCAAGTAGCTAGGATTACAGACGTGAGCCACTGGTGCTCAGCTATGCTTTAGGTCTCAGGTTTTACCCAGGACAGGCCTCAGCCCCTCCCTTCCACCCAAGCGCTCCTACCTCCACCGCCTGTTGACTGGGATCACAGGCAGAACACCACGCTGGCTTATTTACTGAAACGAAGCCTCCGATAACTTTTTGCCCAGGCAAACCTCAATCCTCCTATCTCAGCCTCCTCAGAGGAGCTGGGATTACAGGCAGCCCCCAGCACAAATTTATTTTTTGTGAAAAAGCCTGTTTCCCCTGCCTCACACTCCAGGCTGGTAAACATTATTCAAACTGACTTCATTCACATAGCTTTCAAAATATACAGGTCCTGATAAGTTTTCCTTAAAACACACCCGGAAAATGAAGCCACAGCTGGGTCTGCTACTTCAGGACATGTTAGTATTATTACCTCGCCAGGCTGGGTCCTCCTGCAGTTTGTTTTGTTTTCCTTTTCTCTTCTCTGGAGCCAGAGACCAAATTCAGGGCCTCACACCACTGGGCTACATCCCTTACCCTTCTTTGTTTTTTTTTTTTTTTTTTTTTTTTTGGTGGCACTGGAGTTTGAACTCAGGTCTTCATACTTCATAGACAGGTGCTCTACCACTTGAGCCACTCCACCAGCCCTTTTTTGTGATGGGTTTTTTTGGGATAGGGTCTCATGAACTATTTGCCTGGGCTGCCTTAGAATTTCCATCCTCCTGATCTCTCTGCCTCCCAATAGCTGGGATTACAGGCTTGAGCGCTCAACTCTCTGTAACTTTTTGAGCAAAACTTCACCCTGACAAGCAGAGAAGTAGCAGTAAGAGGTTACAAGCAAACAGATCCAGATTCAGATACTGGCATGAAACCTCATCACAACTTCTCTGAGCTTGATCACTCAACCAAAAGACAAAAAAAAAAAAAAAGAGTAGATAAATGGACAGAACAAAATGAATTGCTTTTCCTCTGGTATGGCTTGGTAATTAGAAGCCATTGCTATTGCCAGGCAGAGTGGAAAAAAAATCAAAAAGACCACAGGAAAAGTCCAGAACGGAGAACAGAATTCCAGTCCCAAAGACTCCAAGTGACCTTTCCTTCAAATAGAGAAAATGAGGCCCAAAGACTGGGGCCGCTCCTTGCCATTCACTCAACACACACTTTACTACGGACAGGCTCGGGGCCAGAGGTGTGGCTGAAGCGGTGGTACATGGCCTGCCTAGCAAGTGTGAAGCCCTGGGTTCAAACCCCAGGCCTGCCAAAAAAAAGGGAGAAAGAAGAAAGAAATGGACACTCTCAGGACATCCCCCTAAGGGTCAGTGCGCTTCCAGTTCCTGCAGCTACGAGCTGCTAAAATGGTTTCTCAGTAAGTACTTTAGGAACGGAATCTAGAGAGGGGCAATGAACCCTTATAAGCTTCTGGTATTGAAGAGTGCAACTCTGCTCCTTCTCCGGTATGCCCAGGCCTGTTTCAGCTTGCAAATAACAGGAAAGTGAATTACACTTTTGATGATTGGCGATAGAGGAAGAGTCGCCCACGCACTAACCCCCCCCCCTCCCCGCGCCCCCAAGCTCAAAAATCCAGACAAAGCGGAAGCTCGGGAAGTCCCACTTGCCTACGACTCTGAGTACGGGATTCGAACCTTGAAACCCCCAAGAGAAGCTTCGCACTATGACTCACCACGGGAGCCCACCTGGAGCCGCAAGTTTTCCGCAGCCACAGCGTGCGGAGTGGCGCTAAATCTGCAGATACAAACTCCACCCTCAGCCAATCAAAACGCCCTCCACCCCCCTGACCAATGAAAAGCAGCGGATATGACCGTCTCCGCGTAGCCTCCATGCTTGCTGGGAGTTGTAGTTTACAACGCAGAGCAGGACTCAGCGTCCTGGTTTCCCCCAGCTGATCCCGCCCCCTCAGCCTTCCAGCCAATCAGCAACATGAGTTTGGTCCACCACCCTTTCTCCGCTTCTTCCCCCCTGCACACAAACACGGGTGACCGCAGCTAGATAGGCCGCGGCGGGACGGATGTGGGGCGGTAGGGTCGGGGCCTTGCTGCGGGTACGGAGGTTGCAGCCAGCAGGGGTATCCGGAAGGACACTGCTAAGCTGTAATGCTGTCTCGCAGGCAGGAAGCAGTTCGCCGCGGTGTTGGAACTGCGGGGGGTCAGGGGGTGCTGGGCGGGAGGACGGGTTCTTCTGCCCGCGGTGCCGCGCGCTGCAGCCCCCCGACCCTACTCGAGACTACTTCAGCCTTATGGATTGGTACGGGCTGCGGTGGGTGCGGGGGACGGCTGGGGTTGGCGGGGGGGAGGTCAGAGGCTGGCCAGCGTGAGGGGAGGGCAAGACCGGTGGGCATAGCCTTAGAGGGCGGAGCTAGGGGATCGGTCCCCAAAGAGGAAATTGAGAGCGGGGACGGAGGGAAGGGGCCACGCGAAAGGGAGCAGGGAGGGGAGAGGCGGGGAATTAAGGAGCTAGAGGGAGGGGGCGGGGCCTGTTGCTAAGGGAACCTGGCGAGGAGCGGAGCTTGGGAAAGGACTGAAAAATTGAACTTCGTCTGGTGGCTCCAGTCTGTAATCCTAACTATTTGGGAGATTGAGATTGGGAGGATCATGGTTCAATGGCCAGCCCGGGAAAATAGTTCATTAGGCCCCCACCCCCATCTCCAAAATAACCAGAACAAAATGGACTGGAGGAGTGGCTCAAGTGTAGAGCGACTGATTGGCAAGAGCAAAGCCCTGAGTTCCATCCCCAGTCCCCCTAGTAGTAAAAAAGTACTGAAGTAGACAAGATTAGGGAGTAAGGGCTTTCTCCAGGCCCTGGATTTGATCCCTAGCAATACAAAAGTAAATAAAAATCCAAACATGTAGGCCATCTAAGGAGAGTGGGAATTTTCCTTTCAAAGTTGATTTTGGAGAGGTGAGGAAGTAGGAGCAGAGTTGAACTAGTGAGGAAATGGAGCGAGCTCTGGAAATAGAACAGAAAAAGAAGTTGGGAAGGGGGGCAGGGACCTGCTGGTTGGAAAGACAAGGGAGATACAAAAATACCTCTTCCCCTTAATCCTGGAATATTCTTCCACCAGTCCCCTGAGCACTTACAGTGGGCGGCAATAACTTTTAAGTTGTCAAGCTTGCAGTCTTGCTCATACCTCAGGGCCTTTGTACCTGCTAATCCTTCTGCCTCCATGACTCTTTCACTGATGTCTGATTACTTACATCATCACTCAGGTCTCACCTCAAATGTCATCTGTGTAGCATCTTCCACCTTCTCTAACCCTAATCTGTTTTCCTGTGTGCCACCTACCACTTTTTGAAATGATCTTTGTTTATATGTTTATTACATTTTCCCTAAGAGCAGGAAACAGGCTATAGTAAAGAAATCTCTACATCAATTTATTGATGAATTTCATCTCCCGATTTGCTTCCAGCAACCGATCCTTCAGGGTTGACACCACGAAGCTCCAGCACAGGTTCCAGCAGCTACAGCGTCTTGTCCACCCAGATTTCTTCAGCCAGCGGTCTAAGGTAGTTTATTGGCCCACCCCAGTACCCCCCAAACATTGGCAGGCGGGTGGGTGCCAGTAGCCTGTGGTTTCATGATTAACCACAACACAGTTGGACAACCATCTTCATCCTGTGATGTCCTGACCCCAGCCAGCCAGGCCCCAGAGATGTCATTTCCTCACAGCTTTTAGCTGACCTCCTAGAAAACTAAGAATCCACCATCTGAAAATAAAGACACCTCATGCAGCACTAGTTCCACTTTGGCCATGTGTCCTTCTGGACCTGCTCATCAGTATGTTATAAAAGTCTATGAGTGTAAGGAAGCTCTTTTATGAGACTCTCTTCATCTCTGCTAACAGACCGAAAAGGACTTCTCAGAGGAGCATTCAACCCTAGTGAATGATGCCTATAAGACTCTTCTGGCCCCCCTGAACAGAGGACTATACCTTGTAAGGTGATTTCCCAACCCGCCTTTCTTCCCCCGCCTTTTTTTTAATCCTGGGGTTTGTACTCAGGGTGGCATGCACTCTACCACTTGTGCCACACCCTCAACCCTTTTCTACTTCATTTATTTTTCAAGTAGAGTCTCACTTTTTGTCCCGGGCCAGCCTCAGACCTTGAGCCTCCTGGGTAGTTAGGTGCATGCTGGGCCCAGCTTAGTGGCTGAGATGGGGTCTCATCTCACTAAGCTTTTCCCCAGTCTGACCTCAATACATTATCCTCCCAATCTCTGCCTCTGGTAGCTGGCATTACAGGCATAAGCCACCAACTCCCAACCCTTCTATGTGTGATTTACCCTGTATTCACACATTGGCTTTGAGATCTGAGCTAGGACCCTATCTCAGAAACCACCACAAAAAAGGGCTGGTGTCAGGCACTGATGGCTCACGCCTATAATCCTAGCTACTCCAGAGGATCTCAGTTCAAAGCCAGCCCAAGGAAGTAGTTCCATGAGACCCTATTTCGAAAAAATCCATCACAGAAAAGGGCTCACAGAGTGGCTCAAGGTGTAGGCCCTGAGTTCAAACCCCAGTACTACCAAAATCAAATAAATACATATGTAAATAAATAATCTCTCTCAACTTCCAAGTGAAAGGAATGACTACCCCAGAGCCACGAGTTCCAGGTGGCACAAAGTAGGATCTTGTACCAACACTCTTGTCCCAGTCCAAACTTTTGGCACACTACCCTCATCACACTTTGAATACTAGGACAGCTCGAGTTTTCTAGGCTGGACGTGTAGCTCAGTGGTAGAGGTCTTGCCTAACTCGCTCAAACCCCTGGGTTCCATGCCAGCACTACAGAATTTATGCGGTGCTGGGGGCATGGCTCAAATGGTGCAACACCTGCTTAGCATCTACATGGCACAGGCCCTATTTTCTTGACCCAAACTTATTTTCTGCCCCAATAGCTAAAGCTCCACGGGATAGAGATTCCTGAAGGAACAGATCATGAAATAGACCGTCAGTTCCTCACCGAAATCATGGAATTCAATGAGAGACTCGCAGAGGCTCAAAGCAAAGATGCTGTGGAAGAGATTGAATCCACTGTCAGAGGTAAAAGATAAAATACCACCGAATGCCTTTTGTTGCCAGGGTTAAATGAGAAATGAACCTAAAGAGGACATACCAGTCATCATGATGATTCAGGAACTATTTTTTTTCCTGACCATACCAAAATCAGTTTTGTATGGAAGTTAACTTTACGATTTATGTAACCTTATAGAAGGCAGCCTTAAGCCAAGAATGTAATCATCACCAGGCACTGTGGCTCTCTCCTGTAATCCCAGTGACTTGGGAGGCAGAGATCAGGAAGATCGAGGTTCAAAACCAGCCTGGACAAATAGTTTGCAAGACCCTATACAAAAAAAAAAAATCACAAGAGGGCTGGTGGGGTGGCTCAAGGTGGAGGCGCTGAGTTCAAACCTTACTACCACAAAACACAGAATGTAATCCTATGTTACAGACTTCAGTGATCTTTTCTACTCAGGATATTGTTCAGGTATTACTATTTTCTCTAGCAAGGAAATGGAGCTCAGAAGTTAGCACATGTGCTCCAGGTCACACAGCATGTCTGTGACTCCCTGACCTCTGATTCCATATTGCTTTCTTTCCCACTTCGTTCCATAGTGAATCAATCAGGGTTCTCCAGGAAACCAATAGGATGTAGATAGACTTATCTGAAAGAATTGGTTCACACGACTCGGGACTGGCACAGCTTTATAGGGCAGGCCTGCAGGCCTGATAATTGTGCTAATTCCATATTTGTATACAGGGTACCTTGAGCAAGTTCATCTCCTCCATTGTATTCCCATTCCTCTCTTCCTTATTCCCTTCTTTCAAACGGTGTTCGGTGGGTTTCATTATTCTGTCTTTATCAGGTCAGATTTCCACATCACAGTCTTTTATGAGGATTTTTGTTGTTGTTTTGTGGTGCTGAGGATCAAACCCAAGGCATTACACATATGAGGCAAGTGCTCTAAACCTATGTTACAGTCTGTTTTGTTTCTTTTATTAGGTGGGTCTGAACTCAAGGCTTCACACTTGCTCTGATTATTTTCAAGATAAGTCTTGGGAACTATTTGCCCATGCTGGCCTCGAACTGGCTCTTCCCCGTCTTAGCCACCCAAGTAGCTAGGATTACAGGTGTCAGCCACTGCCCACAGCTGTGTTACAGCCTTGAAACAGAATTCCTTCCCCCCTGTTTTTACATTTAATGTCTTGATTGAATGAGGGCATCCTATATAATTTATTAAAGTCAACTGATTGTAAATGTTAATCCCATCTACAAAATACCTTCATGGCATCATCTAGAACTGTGTTTGATCAACAACTGGGTGCTCTAGCCTGGCCAACTTGATCTGTAAATTCACCATTTCATGTAGAAAAAGCACCAGGTTCTCAGAAAGGCTGTAGGTACTTGTGTACTTTGACAAACATTTATGTTGTGCCCACTGTGTACCAGGTACTGTGCACAACACTGAAGATGCATCAGGGAACAGAAAGACTTGAGCCATACTTCCATGGAGTTTACATATTCTAACCTAGTGGGATTCATGAGAGATTCCCTCTCTGCTCCGCCCCCAGAGGACCTGTCTCGCCCCATATCCTTGTCAAGAGTATGTCCCCAATAATCTAACTTCCTTTCGCTAAGCTCCACCTCCTAAAGGTTCCACCAGCTCCTAATAGCATCACAGGCTGGCCACCAAGCTTTTACTCTATGGGCCTTTGGAACACGTATCCAAACTGTAGCACCCCACTTTTTTTTCTTATAAATGATTCTGTAGCCATCCTATAATCCTTGATGATTGCCCCTCAGATCTTTCATGAGTGAAAAACAGAGTTTGGCTAGGGTCTGTGAGTACTGCATTCAATTGATACTGCTAGCTGGGTGTGGTAGATCACATGTATAATCCCAGCCCTTGGGAGACAGAGGCAGAAAGACTACAAGCTCCAGTCCAGCCTGAGCTATGCAGTGAGATACTGTTTTAAAAAACCAAGTACTGAGGGCTAGCCAAGTGTCTCAAGTTGTAAAGTGCTGCCTAGCATGGGTAAGGCCTTGAGTTCAAATCCCAGTACTGCCAAAAAAAAAAAAAAAAAAAACCCAAGGGCTGACACTAGCTTGGTGATAGAGTACTTGAGTACTTGGATAGCATTTGCTTGGCTCTGGGTTTGATCCCCAGCACTGTCAAAAAAAAAAATCTGTTGTCATGGTATACATAGAGACAAAGGTTATGAACCCTGAAGTTGAATCCAAGCTCCCTGCCTTGTTGTATTTAAAGCAGCATGATCGCAAAACATTGTCTACTTTTCTGAGTCTGTTTAAATAGAAAAATTCAGATCACGGTTTTTCTCTTTCAGCCAGACAGAAAGAATTGATTGACAGTGCAAGCCAAGCTTTTGAACAAGGTACTTCATTTCTTGACTTTGTGCATATGAAAAGAAATTGAAAACACTGGCGTACTCCACTCACCCGATAAGTAGCATTATGTACTTCTCCTGTGGTGGGAACGTGGGGAGACACAAAACCTACGTCAGGATGTATTTCTGCCTTCATGGCGTCTTATCACTGCAGGATGAACACAACTGTGCGACAAAAACTGGTCTGCCAGTTCACCATTAGATAGCAGAAAATGCTGCCCTTCTCCCTTAGCAAGAAGATATAGTCAAGTATAGAGTGAGACATTCAGTGTTGAGAAAAAAAGCCTGCGAAGCTAGAATTCCATACCCTGAAAAATCATCCAAAACAGAAGGAGAAATAAAGACTTCCTCTAACAAAAATTGAAAAAAATATATTGCCAGCAGACCTTCCTTGTAAGAAGTACTGTAAAAAATTCTTTAGAAGTCTGTGAGACCCCATCCCAACCAACAGTGCTGGGTGCAGTGGCACACAGCTGTCATCCCAGCCAGGAATAGGAGGACTGTGACCCAGGCTGGCCAAGGGATAAGAGCAAGATCATTTGAAAAATAACCGAAGAACAAAGGGGCTGGGGGCGTGGGTCCAGTGGTACAGCACCTGCCTAGCAAGTGCAAGGCTTGAATTCAACCCCAGAACAAAAAAGTTCTTTAGGGAGAATGAAACTGGTATGGATCAGAAACTCAACACAGAGAAATGAGGCGCATTGGAGAAGGATGAATGTTCTCTGGAGCTATGACAACAGGTTGTTCAAAAGAGTGATGGCAACAATGTATCCGGTTTTCAGGTATAGCCCAGTGATAGGACAGCTGAGCAGAATGCAATCCCCAGCACTCCAGCAAACAGACCTAATTATATATTGTCTACAAGAAAACCACTTTGAATACAAAGAAATAAAAGGAGAACCAGGGATGTATCTCAGTGGTAGAGTAACTTGCTGGCATGCCTGAGACCCTGGGTTCAACCCCAGCACTCCCAAAAAGAGGTTAACCTGATCAATTTTATGTTATGCATATTATTTTAAAATAAAAACCAAATTAAAGACATGAAACCAAGGGCTGGGGGTACAGCTTAAGTGGTAGACCACTCAGCTAGCACCACCAGAAAAAGAAAAGGAAGGAAACAGGACCATGACTTTCCAAACTCCCAGTTAGCCTTTTGCCAATACATCTCCCTTGCACGGTAACCATCCTCCTGAATTCCGTGTCAATTTTTGTGTAAATAATTTCATACCTTATGTGTTCTTCTCTGACTTACTTTTTTTGATTAATATTTTGCTTTTGATTTGGGTGGATATAACATTTTCATTTTAGCATGCATTATTACCTTGTGCTGCTTGGGCATGGTACTGCACTCCTGTAACCCCAGCACTTGGGAGGCTAAACGAAGAAGTGCCTGAATTGGAGGCCAGCTTGGGTTACATAGGAAGACCCTGTCTCAAAAAGCACACTGGAGGAGTCAGTCAGTAAGTAGTAGGGAGCTTACCTAGGCCTGGATTGGATCCCCAGCAGGACAAAATCAAATTAAATTAAATTGAAAATAAAACTGTTAGGGCTGGTGGAGTGGCTTAAGTGGTAGAGCCCTGAGTTCAAAACTTAGTACCACCGAAAAAGTAAATAAAACTAGCGAACTTAGCTAAAATCAAAGTTTGCAACTTAAGTATTACTGATATTCAAGTCAGGTCCTTCTTTGCTGTGGCGACAGCAGCACCGTGCCCACCTCCCTGGCGACAACCACGTCTCCACACATTGCCAGACATCCCGTGGGACAAAATCACCTCAGCTGACAGTCACGTCTAAGGGCAGCGTTCCCAGAGACGAGTTCCCCCAAGGGCAGCTGTGCCTTGGCACTGGCAGCGAGGACGCACACAGCACTTCTGCGTCCTTGGCAGGGCCGTGCCACCACATGTGGTCGGGGGAAGCTTTCCAAGCAGAGCCCGGTGATCCCTGGGGACTGTCCTGAAGAGAATCAGCACCTCCGGCTTGTCTGAACCCTGTGAACAGGCATGTCCTCGCCGCCATTTGGTTCGTTTCTTTGTCTGCTACACAATCCAGGTGTCCTCTATCCACTCTAACCAACTTACTGAGTGGTTGACAGGCCCTCCGTAGCCAGGGCTCAGCTTCAAGCTGACTGCCTTGGTCGCCAGCGTTGGATTTATTCTTGCTTGAAAGGAAGCCTGACATCACTGTCTCTTGTTTATTTCAGATGACTTTGAAAAAGCCAAGGAAATTTTAACAAAAATGAGATACTTTTCAAATGTAGAAGCAAAGATCAAGCTAAAGAAAACGCCCCTCTAGTTGCTAACTTAACGTTTACAAATAAATTTCCTATCTCTCTTCTGACTTCTGATTAAGAATAGATAAACTATAGCCATTGATATTTCACTTCCGCCTGTGGCCTTTCAGGACACTGAGCCACACAGTTCCTGTGCTCAGTTCTGCACGTGACATTTGACACAACATGCCACCGCCGAGGCCACTGGACGGGGAGTGGGAATGGAGGGGGCTGAAAACTGTCCGCAATGGTCTCACGGAATATTTTAGGCTTGTGAGCTTGAGGCCATATGTGGCCTCTGTTGTAGCTACTATGGGGACTCTGTCATTGTAGCACAGAGGCAGCCATGGACACTGTTGAACAAAGGGATAATCTGATCTCATTTACAAAAAAAGGGGAGGATACGGTCCAGTGGTACAGCCTTGCCTAGCATGTGCAAGGCCCTCAGTTCGATCTCCATCACCACCCAAAAAGAAAAGAGCAGGACAGAAACAAAGCTGTATTTACAAAACAGACAGTAGGCCGGATGTAGTCAGGTTTGCCTTCCTGCTAATGACCTTCACTAAAATAGTTTGTTACCGTGGCCTTGGGGCAGTTGTTAGGAATGTCTTCCCGCCTGTAGATAACAGTATCAAGAGTTAGGCTGGAATTAAAGACTGATCCTATTTCCCCTCCCTGATGGGGTGGAGCAGTTTTAATGACTCCCTGGACAGTTGACACGCTCTGGTCACTGTTTCACACTTTAATTCAGATCCACCTCCCCTTCTGCATCTTTGGAAATTCAGCTTAAGTTCTTCATCCATTTCCAGGAAAAGAAAAGGGTTTTGTTTTTTGTTTTTTTTTAAGTCTCTGCATCTGGAAAGATTAAAATATTAAACACAAAATTCTGGTTAAGCAATTCCATGAAACAGCATTCCAGTTCCTCTGGAGAGAATCACTTGGGGTTTTTTTCATGGTTTTGATTTTTTTGAGAGGGTCTCACTCTGTAGCCCAGACTGGCCTCAAACTCAAAATGCTCCTGCCTTGGTCTCCCAAGTGCTGGGATTACGGGTGTGCTCTATAACGCCTAGCAGAGAATCACTTGCTAATTGAAAAAGTCAGAGCCCAGCTACTTGGGAGGCTGAGATCAGAAGGATCTCAATTCAAGGCCACCATGGCAAATAGTTCTCGAGACCCCATCTCCAAATGGTAGGCGCTCAAATGGTAGAGTGCCTGCTTTGAAAATGCAAAGCCCTGAGTTCAAACTCCAGTCCTACCTACACACACACACAAGAAAAAAGGAAAAAAAAAAATCTACAGCTCTTTCGCAGCTCCCTTGTCCTTGTCTCCAAATTTATATTTTGCAAATCCTGATCCAGTTTCACCGTGTTAACATTTTAGGATTTACTAATCTTCAGAAGACAAATTAATTACAGCAGCTGTCTGGCCTAATGATACTTGAGAATATCAGTGCTATCTCCCCCCCCCCCAAAAAAAAAATTAAAAGGGAATGAATTACTTCTCTGAAAACACACCAGGGATCCTTTAAGTAAATAATTGCAAAGCACACAAAATTGCCCATTAAATTGAGTGCTTCTGCAAAGAAGGAGATCAAAGGAGGGTTGAAAGACACTTTCATTCCTTCTTGGAAACAGTGAGCAAGACCAAAACACTCTGACCACAAAAAGATAACAAGTTGACATTGTTTCAGACACATCTTGAAAGAAACTTCCCCCTTACCTGGTGCCATCAGCTGCCTAAGACTGCTGGGCCTCCCAGCAAAGTATTTTTCTAATTGAAAGATCGATTTTTTTTAAAATGACATTGTTTTTGAATCAAGGCTTCTGAGGTCAGTAGGATTACTTCTTTCTTTTTAATTCCAAACTCCCTTTTGTCTAACCTCCAAGTTAAACAGGACTTCTAAACCCAGGACCTTTTCACCTAATAAGGCCCCGTGCCAGGTATGTTTCTAGATGACTGAGAACCAGGCAGCCCCATTTAGATTTCAGTTTCTGACTAAGTGAAGCCAGCCAAGCATACACACCCTATTCCTACCTCTGTCCTCATACAGTGTCAGAACAAGTTAGAGTTTTTAGTACTTTGTGACTATGTCTTCCCAGGCTCTGGTGTCAGACAGTACTGGTATTAATAGATTGAATCTTTGTGCCCCCAAAAACAAAATTCACTTTTGGCCAGGCACCAGTGGCTCACACCTGTAATCCTAGCTACTCAGGAGGCAGAGATCAGGAGGATTGAGGTTCAAAGCCAGCTCAGGTAAATTGTTCACGAGATCCTATCTTGAAAATACCCAACACAAAACAGGATTAGTGGAGTGGCTCAAGGTGTAGGCCCTGAGTTCAAGCCCCAGTTCAGCCAAAAAAAAAAAAAAAACTCAGGGCCTCACACTTGCTAGGCAGGTGCTCTACCACTTGAGCCACTTTACCAGTCCCAAGATCCAGTGAGTGTATGTGGATATGGAGCCTCCTGTGGGGAGCAGATTACGAGAAGCCTATGAGAACTTGACATAAGCAGAGCTGTGCTCAATGATCTACAGGCTGAGTTTGGCATGGCCCCAGCTGCAGAAGGGGGGGAAGGCAAAATGCAGCACAGCTGCTTTTCCTAAGTTGTTTACATTCAGAGATGTAAGATGGCAGGTTTCTCTTGTTACAATGTTACACCCTTCCCAGAGAACTGTTGCTCCACCTCCTTGTTTACCACTGTATATAAAAGACTAACTGAAGGATTGATGGAGGATTGTTGATTGATTGGCAGGCTGGTTGTGAGAATGGCACTGCTGCTGCTGGCTGTTATGTGTCTCTGCCAGTGCAGCTTTCTGGACCAAGAACTTTATACATAGGCTTCAGAAAAGATAAGCTAAAAGAGAACGTAGGACAGTGCAAGTCTGAGGGCTGAGATTTTAAGAGAGATTAAAGAAAACATGGGACAGAGTAAGTCTAAGGAAAGAGACTTTAAAGAATAGAAAAGAAGCAAGGTTTTAAAGAAAGACCTTAGAAGTAAGGTCTTAAAGAATAGAGAGAAAAGAAGCAAAGCAAAGAGTAATAGAGAAAAAGAAGCAATGAGGCTGTTGTGCGTCTCCATCCGAAAACCAAGGAGACCTGGCCCCAACTTTCTGCATGTCTATCTTCTTTCGTTTGTCCTTTCTGCGTCTCCAGTCGCCCCCAGTTAGGTCAGGAGAACCAAGAGCTCGAGAAAGCTTGCAACAGCCTCCAAAAAATAAGACTGGAGACCAGCAAAAGAAACTGGAACTGGCTGTGTTGGCACCTTGACCTTGGAGTTTCAGCCTTGGAGACTGTGAGAAAATAAATTTCTGTTTTTTAAACCATTAGGATATGGGTTTTTGTGTGTGCGTTGTTTGTCTATTGTGGGATTTGTTTCCATTCGTTTTGGAGGTGCTGGGGATCAAATCAAGGCTCCTACGTGTGCTAGACAAGCACTCTCACTGAGCAAATCCCCAGGCCAACAGTATTTTATGTAGCAGGCCAGACAAATAGGCCTGGGTTTATTCCATCTCCCCCACTTAATTCCTCGTCTTTAAAAGGGTCATAGGTGGTACTGGAGGTTCAAGCAGTAGAGCACCTGTCTCACAAGTCCTGAGTTCAAACCCCAGTACTGCCAAAAACTAAAAAGGTAAGAGTAGTCAAACCCAGTGGTACATGGTTATAGTCCCAGCTACTTGGGAGGCTTAGATGGAAAGATCACTTGAGCTGAGTTTGAGGCCAACCTGGGCAACAAAGTGAGACCCTGTCTCTAAATAAATAAAGAGTGACAAGGGGTGGGGGTGGAGCAACATGGCAAAGCACACGGTAGCCTGCGTCCCACCCTGGGTTCCATCCCCAGTACAAAAAATAATTCTCCAGGCCTAAGCATCAAGCTTCCATAGGCCAAGGGAGGGATCACTCCCAGGTGTGGTGACCAGAGAAGCCTTTAGAGAAGACAGGGACTAGAATCTAGACAAGCAGAGAGAAGGTGTATCAGGGGTCCCAAAGACCACCCCCCAGGTTTGATGATCTCTTAGGAGGATTCATGGCTATGAGTCATTACACCAAAAGGATGGAAAGGGAAAAGGCTCACAGGCCACCAGGCATTGTGACTCACACCTATAATCCCAGCTACTTGGGAAGCAGAGATCAGGAGGATCAACGCCAGCCCGGGCAAATAGTTCACAAGTCCCTATCTCAAAAAAAAAAAACTCCCAAGTTTGATACGGTGAGGGGTAAGCTTCCATGTTCTCCAGGTGAAGTCACACACCCAAGTCCCCAACTATAGGGTGTGACAGCATGTGTGAGACTGTCTCCAAAGAGGCTCATCAGAGACTCAGGACCCGAGCTCTGAGACCTGGTCACATAAGCACCCTGTCTCTGCCCAGAACGGACCCAAATTCTAGACTCTGGGAGGAAAGCATGTATTCACCACATGCTACGTTGCTTGTACGAAACACTCAGGCCCAGTGAGCCACTCTTACCAGCTCTAGGAATTAAACCCAAAGGCCAAGTTCTCAGATGCCAGCCAAGGGCCAGTCTTGAAAGTCTGAGATGCCATCATCTCAGACCTGCCATGTTAATGTTTTCTGCACGGTCCCATTATATGGAAGGAACTACACAGTAATTCCTGACCAAAGAAGAAAATGCCTCCATTGCTGAGGAGCCTTCTCTTTCCGTCAAAAAGGAAAATGCTGCTTTCTGAGTCACCGGAGAAGTCGTGCTACCTAGTGGGTTCAGTGGCAAGTGACAAATTACCGTGGCAGACTTGGACCTAACCTTGGCTTTGACAGAGGATTCCTTTGGTTCTTCTTGGGGGACGTGGTGTTGGCTGTATCAGATGTGACCAGATGAACAAATAAAGACATCATCTTTTCCTTTCCAGGACTTGCTCTTGGGAGGTGAAGGAGACTCAGAAAGGAACCTTCAGCATACAGAGGGGCACGGGAACCAAGCAGAAGATTGGTGGTGACTGACAGTGCTGGAGGTGGGCGCTAAGGCAGAGGGGCAGAGTCTATAAATAAGTGGAGAGCAAGGACGCCCTCTCCAAACTGGGGATGATGGTGGGAGCTGCCATTCAGCTCTGCTCATTGCTCTGATAGAGAGGTTCGGACATTGTTGACAATCTCTTGATTATTTCAAGAGAAGCTGGAATTGGGATTCTCGCAGGAAATTCCCCCCAGGACTGCCACATGAACCCAACCAACAAACAGCCAGCTTGGCTGAAGTAAAGGAAGGGACAAGAAAGGTTTTGCACCTGAGGTGACAAGTGACTGATGAACTAACAAATGTGAACAGAGTACTTAAGGTGCCCTAAGCAAGAGAAGTGGTTTCAAACTGTATTTACTTAATTCCAGGTTCCATGGAATCAGATATTACTGTTTGGCATAACTGGAGGTCAATAATGTCTTGTATGCACCCAGCCCTCTCCCCACGGAGGGCTTGTCACCCTCCCAGCACTTCAGTGTGCTGGCTGTTAGGAAGTACCACTGAGCCTCCACGTTTCAAGTTTTTATTGGGACTTTTAACATAAATATTATGAATTCAACCTCCAGGCTCCCTCTCTGACAATAGGGCTAGCTCTCAGCTCCAAGTTGTGACTACATGATTGGTTTTTTTGGTGACCAACTGTGTTAGCTTTCCGCCTTTGTGACAAAAGACCTGAGAAAATCAACTTAAAAGGAGGAAACTTGGACCAGGCACCAGTGGCTCATGCCTGTAATCCAAGCTACTCAGGAGGCAAAGATCAAGGAGGATTGCAGTTCAAACCCAGCCTGGGCAAATAATTCAAGAGACTATCTCAAAAAAAAAACCCATCACAAAAATAGGGCTGGTAGAGTGGCTCAAGGTGTAGGTCCTGAGTTCAAACCCCAGTACTGCAAAAACAAAAAAGGGGGGGGAGGGGGAGTTTGGGGTTTTTTTTAGAGACACTGGGGTTTGAACTCAGGGCCTCACTTTGCTAGGCAGGCGCTCTACCACTTGAGTCATGCCTCTAGTCCTGTTTTGTGATGGGTATTTTCAAGATAGGGTCTCATGAACTGTTTACTAATGTCTGGCTCTTGAGTAGCTGGAATTAGAGGCGTGAGCCACTGGCGTCCAGCTGAGGAAAGGATTTATTTTGGGTCACAGTTTTGGAGGTTCTGGTCCACTAGGTCCCATTCCTTTGGGCCTGTAGTGAGAGAGATCATCATTGAGGGGGTGTGGGGTGGAGAAAAGCTATTGACATCATGGTAACTAAAAAGCAAAGTGAGAGAGGAGGTGGCCTGGAAACCAATATCCCTTTCAAAGGTACACCTCTAATAACCCAATTTCCTCCCACTAAACCCACCTTCTATAGGTTCCACTATGTCCCGGAAACGCTAAGCTAAAGACACAGCTGTTAGCATATGGGCCTTTGGAGACATTCAAGAGGAAAACTATGACACCAGCCTCTGCCTGAGTCACCTCTCATTAGCATTAGTGATCATTAGTGATCCAAGGCTGTCATGAGTAAGGGAGACATACCTATTACTGGAGAAAGTATAGGAATTCTTTTTTTATGGTGCTGGGGATCAAACTTAGGGCCTCACACATATGCTCTACCATTGAGCTACATTCCCACCCCGGAATAAGGACTTAGAATCTCCCTCCAAACCAGTGACAAAAACAAGACGAATCAGCTGGGCACTTGTGGCTCACACTTATTTATAAGCCTAGCTATTCAGAAGGCAGAGATCAGAAGGATTACATTTTGAGGCCAGCCCTGGCAAAATGAAAGTGAAACCCTGCCTCAAAAATACCCAAGACAAAAAAGGGCTGGGAAGTGGCTCAAGTGGTAGAGCACCTGCTTAGCAAGCATGAGGGCCTTGAGTTCAAACCCTGGTGCTGCCACACACAAAAAAGTCAGACAAATTCTCTTCTAAATTTTTTTTTAATTTTTATTTTATTTTTATGTAGTACTGGGGATTGAACTCAAGCGTCATATTTTATAAGCAGGCACTCTACCACTTGAACCACTCTGCCAGTCGTGTGTGTGTGTGTGTGTGTGTGTTGGCATACTGAAATAGAGTCTCAAGAACTATTTGTCCGGGCTGGCTTCAAACCGTGATCCTCCTGGTTGCTTCCTCTTGAGTTGCTGGGACTACAGGCATGAGCCACTGGTGCCTGACTATTCCTTTTTCTTCTCTTTCTCCCTCTCTCATGCATCTAGGTAAGGCTTCTACCACTTAGCTATGTCCCCAGTTCCTCTTTCTAGTTTCGTCTTCTTTTTGGCAGGACTGGAGTTTGAATTCAAGTCTTTCAGGATGATTTTGATCCTTCTGATCTCAGTCTCACAAGTAGCTAGGATTACAAGTGTGAGCTACCAACCCCCAGCTCTAAACAGGTTTTAATGAATGCAAATCTCATGGATTCTGCCTCCTGTAAGGACATTTAACAAATTGATTTGATTAAATCCAAGGCGGCCTTTGACCTACTCCCTTAACCCCAGGAATGGGCAGTGCGGCTAGAGGTTCACACCTGCCGTGTGGACCAGTGCCAGCACAAACTGAAATCTTGTGAGGAAACCTTAGGCCACAGTACAGTGCCTTCAGAGAAAATGTCTCTGTGAAAAACTTCATAACTAAATCTAGATTTTTTTATTATTGTTGGACTGGGGTTTGAACTCAGGCTTAGAGGGCTCCAATAGTGATCCCAGTAATCTCTTCCTCCCAAGTAGCTAGGATTACAGACATGAGCTACTGGCACTCAGCAAACCAACTCTCTCTCTCTCTCTCTTTTTTTTTTTTTGGTAGTACTGGGGTTTGAACTCAGAGCCTCATGCTTGCTAGGCAGGCGCTGTACCACTTGAGCCACTCCACCAGCCCTAGCAAAGCTACTCTTAATACTTCACCAAGTACTCCAAGAGTTTAAAGTCGGGCAGCCCACTGTTGTCTGAAATCCACAGTTCCTTTTTCTCAGACCCTGGCCGTTGTTAAGTAGAAAGAAGGACACATGCATGAAAAGGTTTGGAGGCGAGAGACAGGAACTGAGAGCATGTCAGTAGAAAGTGGGAGAAAATTCCAGCAGGTGATGTAGGAGTGGGTGGAGTGGGAGGAGGTGAGACCGGGGAGGGAGTCTGAAGCCTACTAAGGAGACTGGACCTTTGGGGACAGGTGGAAGATGGGCAGGAACATCAGAGAGCATGGTGGAACACCTCCCTGGCTGAGTATGGTTGATGGGCTGGATGGACAGGAGTGGAGTCAGGGAGACTGATTAGGAGGCTCCAGCAGGGAAGAGATATCAGGGCTCAGGGGGTCATGGTAAAACCAACTCCTTACTTGGGCCCACGAATTAACTAAAAGCAGGAGAAAAGCTTAGCACCTCCATCTGCATTTTGTACTTCTTGTCCTTTGCTCTGAGCCATTCTCTCCTGCAGCCACCCTGGAATCCAGGAAGGACAGGAATGATCGATGGATCACATCTTATGACAAGGGACTAAAACTCCCCTTAAGGAACAGTGGAGCCTTGCAGGACAGACCACCCCCCCAAAGTGAGGACAATGACCTGCAATGACAAGGCTGCACCCTGGAGCAGGAGCAGTCATCTCAGGGGAGCCAAATGCTCACTTGGATGCAAGAAGGGCGATTGGGAGGATGAGTCCTGGCCAGTCACGTCCTCAGGGTGGTCGTGGGGTGAGTTGGAATCGGGGTCCCACCAGGATTAGTGAGGAAACCCGCCCTGAGTCATGGCACCAAACATAAGGAAATATAGGCCCCAAAAGTGACCATGTGGAGAGGAGTGATCTGGCCAAGAGATTCTTTATTGCGGGGTGGGAGAGGGAGAGAGCAGAGAGCCAAGAGAGAGAGAGGCAGGAGGGGCAAGGGCTTAAATACCCCTCAGTGGGACTCAGCATGATCTGGTTGGTTAGGATCTTATGGTTCATGCTGATTGGAGGTTGGGGGCAGGAGGAGGATTCAAGCTAGACTTGAGACAGGACTGTGACCCTGGGAGGCAGGACCTGACCCTGGAAAACAGAAGCTTAAGGGTGCAGTAAGCACTGAAACCTATTGGCGCCATTATTGCCAACACCTTTCAGATGCAGACTGGCGTTCCTGGGGCGGAGAAGTGTCTGCTTGACCTCCTGTGGTCTGTCCTTCAGTATTTTTGAGATAGGGGCTTGCAAATTATTTGCCCAGGCTGGCTTTGAACCACGATCCTTCTGATCTCTGCCTCCTGAGTAGTTGGGATTACAGTCGTTAGTCATGGCACTCAGCCTGTAAGCACTTTTGTAAATGTTACAATGTACCCCCAGTACAACAATATTATGATAATAAAAATTTAAATTTTTGTATTAATAAAGAATTAATTTAAATAGACATTCAAGAAATAGAGCAGGAAGGTGGTTTGAGGGGCTCCTAGTGGCTGAGTCCTCCAAACGTTGAAGTCCCCTGTAAAAAAAGAAAAAGAAAAAAATATATATACAATTAGGACTGGACGTGTCGCTCAGTGGTCAGCCCATAGGTTCCATGCTTAGCAGACGCGGAAAGTACACGAATTGAGCGATGGGGATTCCGAGCTAGTGGGGCTGCGGCCATCTTGTTTGTAGTGCGGAAGGACTACAACTCCCGGGATGCGCGCGGCCGCTCCACACACAACAAATCCCGGCGTCCCCTGGGCGGCCCGGGGTGGAGGGTTCTAGAAAGGCGTGACGTGGGGTCGGCGCGGGCTGAGGCGAGCGCCTGTTGGCAGTCGCTGTGGCGGCCGCTGCCGGGCCTGGGAACGCGGGCGGCCGCGGTCGCGGTCACAGCTTTCTCGTCTCGCCAGCGATGGCCGCGCTCGGCCGGCCCTACAGCGGCCTGTCCCTGGGCAGCAGCTCGGACTTCCTGCAGCCGCCGGCGTTCCCGGGCCGGGCCTTCCCGCCGGGAGCCGACGGCACGGAACGGGCCCCGCGGCCGGGACCCCGCGCCGCCCCGAGCAGCCCCGGCGGGAGCGCGGCGCGCGGACGGTGAGGACCGGGCCGGCGGCGGGCGGTTGGGCGGGCGGACGGGCTCCCCAAGCCCTCGACGGCCCCGCCTCCCGGCGCGGAACCGATCCCCGGAGACGTTATTAACTGCAGCGCGCACAGCGCGGGAGCTGGGTTCGAACCCGCGGCGCCCGGAAGGGAGACTGTGCAGTCGGAGTCCGAGCGCTGGTGTCCGGTCCGCTGCGCCGTCGCTGGCGGGGAACTTTGTGTTGTCGCTTGCTTTTGTCCCCGGGTTTTGGGGACACATGCGGGTCCCTTGTGCGGCCGTGGGACGAGTGCGGGGTGCGTGTCGAGTCTGTAGTTCTCGTGGCCGTCTGTCCGCCCTAACCCGGCTCCCGTCACCTTGACCGTGACCACTGTGACACTCCCCCTGGCCGCCTGGGGACCCGTGTCCTCCGCTTCCCGGCGGGTGAGCGGACGATGGCAGCCAGGGACCCGGGGTGCTGGAAGCTCAAGTTCAAGTGCATTGTGCGTTGACTGACTTGCGTTTGCTTCTTCCAACAGTGCTTCGGTTCCCTGCAAGAAGAAACACAAGCGGGAGGCCGAGGACGATGAGTAAGTCCCGGGACCGGGGCCGCCTGGGCCCCGCCCATTTCACACGTGTGCCCTAAGCTGTCCGTGCTACGGGACCAGGTGAAGCACAGCGGGCGAGCAGCTGGCACGAAAACCTAGTCACGTTGACTGACCTTTGGGGACAGTAACTGGCTGGCTGGCAGGGACAGGGAGACTCCTCACCCTGTAACCGGCTGCACCGTGTGTGTTATCGATGGTGTTGTGCGGTCATTACAGACACAAAGTAGAAAAAAATCAAAAGATACAAATTAAGAAATGTACTCTACCTCCCAGTGTTTTTTTTTCCTTGAGATAGGGTTGTATAACCCAGATTGTCTGCTTTGGACTATAATGGAAAAATGTACAAGTTTATAATTGTTTATACCTCTGGTTTATTGGTTTTTTGTTGAGCGTTTTGGTGGGACTGAAGTTTGAACTCAGAGCAGGCGCTCTGCTGCTTGAGCCACACCCCCAGTCCATTTGCTCTGGTTATTTTGGAGCTGGGGGGGGGGTGGTCTCATAAACTATTTGCTTGGGCAGACCTCGAACCTCTATCCTGATCTCAGCCTCCTAAATAGCTAGGATTACAGGTGTGACCACTGCTTATATTTTGAAACTTTTTGGTAACTGCTTAACTGATAGGTGAAATTCTGCATCTCACAGATAGGTAGTCCAATAGAAAAAGGAGTAAAAAATATGGAGTCGTGGTTTAAGTGGTAGGAGTCCCTGCCTAGCAAGTGCAAGGCCATGAATTCAATCACCAGTACTGCCCAAGAAGAAAAAGGAGTAAAAAAAGTTTTCCAAAGAAGCCTGGCTCTGGTGGCTCATGCCTGCAATACTAGCTCCTCAGGAGGCAGAAATCAGGAGGTTCAAGGGGTGAAGCCTGCCTGGAAATACTTCTGGAAAATACCCAACACAAAAACGGGCTGGCAGAGTGGCTCAAGTGGTAGAGCACCTGCCTCGCAAGTGTGAGGCCCTGAGTTCAAACCCCAGTACTGCCCAAAAAAGAGTTTGCCTTCTTCGTTCTGTAGGGAAATTTGTATGAGAACGCAGACCTCTTACCAGGTATTAGAGCAGATGTGGAACACTGGGAGCTCTCTAGTGGTAGTGCACACGCTTTGGAAAACCATCTGCTGTTATCCTTGGCATTATGTGGTAAAGTTGGAAACACACTTCCCCTTTTACTCATCAGGTCCCCTCCTAAGTAGAGCTTCAGGAAATCCATATGCCTGCACGCCAGCAGACAGAAGGAACAAGAAAGTTCACAGTGTCCTTGTCAGTGACAATGCAGAACTGGAAATAGCCCAAATAAGTTACAAATTCATACAGTGGCCTTCTTTGCAGAAAAAAACAAAAGCTGCCCTTACCAACCTCATGTGTCTTTCTTTTCTTTTTTCTTTTTAAAGACACAGTCTCAGTTTGTGGCCCAGGTTGCCTTGAGTTTGCTGCCATTCTCCTGTTCAGCCTTGCAAGGGCTGGGACTGGGCTTGGGAACCACCAGGCCCAACATCATGTGTTTTATGAACGTATCAGAGCCAAAAAAAAAAAAGCTACAAGAATGTATACAGTGTACTTTTCTAAATACAAAGTTCAAAAGTGGACAAAAGTAAACATTGTTGAGGAATACATATATGTGCATGATGTGGAATTTTTAATATATTTTTTTAAATAATTATAAAAGATGGAAGGGAGAGGGTTTACCTCTAGCAAGGAGGGAATAGATTACCATTTTGGGATGCCTGCAGTGTTCTGTAACATTTTCATAGATGTTTAGTTCATAGTAGAATGATAGTAACGTTTATTAGGAAAGGAGACAAAGGGCCATCTCAGTGACACAGTTCATTCATGGTTGATGGACTTTTAGAAGCGCAGGATTTTATAGTTAAATGGTAAATGAGATTGGATCATTGCTTTAACTTGTATTGTTCATTATAATTTGAACATTTTTCCACTTGAGCCATTTGTGCTTAATTTTGTGTGAATTGATCATGTTTCTCTCTTTTTTTTGGTTGGCACTGGGTTTTAAACTCAGGGCCTCACACTTGCTAGGCAAATGTTCTACTACTTGAGCCACTCCACTAGCTTTTTGTGTTGGATTTTTTCGAATAGGGTCTTGTGAACTGCTTTGGAGCCTCTGTACCTTCCTGATCTCTGTATCCTGAAATATGCTGGGATTACAGGCATGAGCCACTGGCACCCAGCTTCTTTTACATCCCCCACCCTCACCCCCAGCAGTATTGGGGTTTGAACTCAGAGCTTTGAACTTTTTAGGCAGGTGCTGTACTACTTGAACCATACCTCCAGCCCTTATTGCTCTGTGTGTTTTGGAGATAGGGTTTTGCTCTTTGCCCATGCCAACCAGGACCTCGATCCTCACTGACCACCCTTCCCACTGTAGCAGAGATGACTGCTGCATGCCATGCTCAGCCTTTGTTCTTTGAGATGGGGTCTGTTAGGTCAAACAGTAACTGTGATTTTCTGGTCTCAGCCTCCCAACTAGCTGGGATTACAGGCGAAAGCCACTGATACTGGGCTTTTTTTTTTTTTTTTTTTTTTTAAGACGGTCTTGGTTTGTACCCCAGGCTGGCCTTGAGTTTTTGATCCTTCTGCCTCTGCCTCCCTGGTTCTGGGATAAAGGACCAGTGCCATCACACTTGGCTTATAAGAAGTCTTTATTAAGGAAATTAGCAGTTTAGTATGTGTGTTGGAAAAGTTTACCTCAAACTCATCTTTTTATTTTGGTGTACTGTTTGAATTCAGGCTCTTGCTTGCTAAGCGGATGCTCTGCCACTTTAAACCATACCCCCAATTCTTTTTGCTTAGTGGTTTTTTTTGGATAGGATCGTGTGCTTATGCCCAGGTCAACCTGGACCTCAATCTTCCTATTTATGCTTCTGACATAGCTGGGATGACAGGCTTGGCCACCACATGCAGCTTTGTTTGTGAGATGGAGTCTGTCTTGCTAACTGTTTGCTAGGATTGGTCTCAAACTTTGAACCTCCTGATCTCATCTCCCAAGTATTTAGGATTATGGGCATGAACCTATGCTCTGCTTTTTTTTTTTTTTTTTATTTTCAGGTGCCAGGGATCAAACCTAGGCACAGCGTTGCTCTACGGTTGAGGCTACGTCACCAGCCCTGTCCTTTGTTTTTTAACTTGTGTATTAATTTTTTTCCCCTCAGAAACTTTGAAACTTCTCAAATTATTGATACATAAATTCATAAAGCAGTAGAGTTAGTTTACAAATTCATGATTTTTTATCTCTAGATTGCTATGCATAATACAGAAGCCTTTTTGCTTTTATCTTTTGGGGTTCCCTATAATATGTTACTGAATATAGGATGGTGTTAGAAGAAGTTTAAAATGTGGGAACTGTTGTCTTAAAAAGTTAGCCAGCTTTGGTTTATGAATGGAGGTGTTGGGAGGAGGTGGAACTAGACATTTGGATGTCTGATCTCAGATTCATGCCACACATCTGCTACCTCCAGTAGCTCTTCTCCATACCTAGACCTAGAAGTTTCATATCATTTTCTTTTTCATTTTTTTGTCCATACTGGGGTTTGAACTCAGGACCTCCTGCTTGCTAGGTAGGTTCTCTTACCACTTGAGCTACTCTGCAAGATCTTTTTTTGTGGTGAGTACTTTTGAGACGGGGTCTAGCAAACTATTTGCCCAGACTGGCCTCGAGCCAGGATTCTTCTGATCTCTGCCTTCTGAGTAGTTAGGATTACATGCATGAGCCACCAGCACCCAACTCCACTTGATGTTTAGAGCCAAATAAATAGGAATGACTTTAAGTTCCCATGTGGAACGCTTGTAATGTGAAAAGGTAAAATCTTGCATACGCTGCCTGGGTCCGTGAAGCATAGGGAGACTGTGAGACTGACACGCAAAAAACCATGTAATTTTCTATCTTATACTCACACATTGTCAAAACTAAAGTTTTTTCATTTAAGATTTGGTTAGCCAGGAAAGTCAAACAAGTCCTGTCTGGGAGTTGATACCAGTGGGATTCGGGAGGGCATAAAGAAAGGGTGAAGAAGGGCGAGTGTGGTGGAAGTATTGTATTCGTGTATGAAAATGGAGCACAGAGACCTGTTGAAATTGTTCTAACAAGGAGGAGAGAAGAGATAAAGGAGAAAGGTGAAGGGGGTGAATCTAACGTATATTGTAAGCACTTTTGTAAATGTCACAGTGCACCTCTGGTACAACTATAAAATGCCAATAAATCAATAAAAGAAAAAAAAAGAATTTGATTAGAGGGAGAGATGACCTCTTGTCTATGCTAATTGAGGGTTTTAATGAATTTCCTTCTTTTTCTTCCAGTTGTCCAGCAAGAAAGAAACGACTGACTGAAGCAGAACTCTGTGCTGGTCCTAACGCCTGGATCCTCGGTACACATCAGGATGCAGAGGGTCCTGGAGCTGACCCGTGCGCTAGTGGCCTTTCTGAACCTGGCATGCTAGATGCTGTTTGTGAAGAAATGGATCAGACAACGGGGGAGCCACAGTGCGAAGTTGCCCGAAGGAAGCTTCAGGAGATTGAGGACAGGTGAGGGAGCAGTGCATGGAGCTGGCTTGCTGCTGTTCCTCTGTAACAGCTCACCTTTCTTTTTTCTGGGGGAGGGAGGGACACTGTGGTTTGAGCTCAAGGCTTCACGCTTGCTAGGAAAGTGCTCTGCCACAGTCAAGCCTCCAGCCCACATATCCCCTCCTTTAAGCTAGTCTGCTTCATCATTTGGTGACACCTTGATCCTCAGCCTCTCAGAAGGACTAAAAAATCAGGAAATGCAAAGCGTGTACTTCAAGCATTAAAGTGAGTTCTTACAGTACTGTAGGTAGCATTCTCACTTACAGTCTACGAATAGTTTTGGTTTATGATATAGCTCTCTGAGAGACATTGTGCAAATTTGAGTCCATTGTTTGTAAAAGTCTTTTGTAAAGTGACATGTTGAGGCCATCTCCTGCATGTGCTTCTTCACCAAGGCATGGTCTCATTTGGTCTTGCACTATAGCACCTGTTGATTTTATCCTTTTTTATTTTTAAATTTTGTCCATTTACTAGAATAATATATAATAGCTTGACTAAATATTTCTTCTGTACCTTCATTTATTTAGGATAATTGACGAAGACGAAGAAGTTGAAACTGACAGAAATGTTAACCATCTCCCCAGTCTTGTCCTTTCTGATACTATGAAAACAGGTTTGAAGAGGGAATTTGATGAAGTCTTCACAAAGAAGATGATTGAGTCTATGTAAGTTTTGGTACCTGATTTCCACTTAATTATGATCTTGGTAGGAAAGCACAGAAACTGTCCATCCTATTGTCAGCTTATCTTGATCAACAGGTAACTGAGATCACAGTAGATGCTGTATTTAGCTCAGGTTGGAGACAGGCTCTTGCCTAGCTCACTGGGAGTGAGAGGAGTTTGAAGTATGCAGGAGTGGCTGCCTCATCTACTCACCCCTTGGTTGTTTTGAGATCCTGAAGTGTACTCCAGTCTAATACTTAGGAAAGGGAGAACTGGCAAGAGAGAGCTCTTTTAATTTTTTGTGATAGGCCAGGTGCAAGTGGCTTATTCCTGTAATCCTAGCTACTTTGGAGGCTGAGATCAGGAGGATCGAGGTTCGAGGCCAGCCCAGGTAACTAGTTCTTGTTACCCAGTCCCCAAAATAACCAGAGCAAAATGGACTGGAGGTGTGGCTCAAGCGGTAGAGCTCCTGCTTTGCAAGTGCAAAGTCCTGAGTTCAAACCCCAGTCCCATCAAAAAAGCAAAACAGAATACCAAGCAGAAGTGTGTGCTCTTGGTTTTCCAGAAACTAGCCTTTGGAGTGTTTTTATTCTTTTTGTTTTTGTTTTTGCCTTACTTGCTTTTCTGTGCCAAAAAGCTTGACTACCACAGGACTGGGATGAATAAGTGATTGTGTGTGTTGGGAATAATTGTTTTGGTTTAACTGCAAAGCATTCTACTTCATACTTATCCTAAGCAAAAGGCATTTGAGATGCTATAATGTGGTGATCCAGTGCTTCCATTTACAATAATGTAGTGTAAGACAGTCCCCACAGGGCTAGGAGTACAGGTCAGTGGTAGAATGCTTAACCAACATTCACGAAGCCCTGCGTTCAGTTCCCAGCACCACAAAACCACAACAAAAAGAAACCTGTAGTCATGTATATCTGCTAATAAAAAACTTACTACATTAATCAAGTGCTCTCTTTTCACATTGTGCATTTCTTTTTTTTTTTTTCCCAGTACTGGGGTTTGAACTCAGGGCCTACACCTTGAGCTACTCCACCGGTCCATTTTTTTGATGTTTTTTTTGAGATAGGGTCTCAAACTATTTGCCTGGGCTGACTTCAAACCATGATCCTCCTGCTCTCTGCTTTCTGAGTGGCTAGGATTATAGGAGTGAGCCACTGGCGCCCAGCCATTTCTATTCTTTACAATCATGGCATCAGTACAACCAGTTGGTTTGATTAAAAATGCATGTAGGGCTGGAAGTACAGCTCAGTGGAGGATCACTTACATGTGGGAGGCCCTGGATTTAATCCTATCACTGCAGAGAAAAGAATCATGCAGAACTGTGAAACTTTTTTGTACTTGAGTGGCCTTCCTAAAGATCGATTTGAACTGCCTCCTAAATCTCCTGTAAAGACCATTATTTCTAACTGTAAGGTATTAGGTATTAAACATTAGCTTTTCAACACACAGCTTTTATTTTCACATCCTGTTTTTTTTTTTTTATTAAAAAAAAAAAATCTGTATTTTGTGTCTTAGGAGCCGTCCTTCCATGGAGCTTGTGCTCTGGAAGCCTCTCCCTGAACTCCTTTCTGATAAGCCAAAGCCACCATCTAGTGCTAAGAACTACACGGGAGAGAGCCAGACTAAGCATGCAGCTCCTGCCACTGCCTTCCCGCAGAGAGCTGAACTGCTGTTGGAACCTCCGCAAACAGGGATGCCTCTTTACGATAGTTTGCAGACAGCTGCTAGCACAGAAGAAGAGATGGAACTCTAGAGACCAGTTCTACACTAAATTTGTCGAGTTTTAGAAGGCTCTTCGTTCATTAATGAGCCTACTTGCATAGTATAGGGTCTTGAAAGTTTTATGAAACGGGTGTAATATCTCCACCTGTGATGTGGGGTGGGACTCTCATTTTGGGTAGCCATTTATTGAATTCAACTTTTTGCCAAGGAAGCTTGTCTCAAAGGAGAAAGTTTTCTAGTGGGCTTATTCAAAGTATGTTAGATTTTATTCTCTTTAAAGGCAAGTGTAGAAGCTGGATGTATAAAGATGACTCAAGTCATTTGTCACATTGTCTAAGCCACTACACTTGGGGAACCCTGTTGAGTTGGAAAAGATGTCTAAGAAAGAAGGGTGCTCCTAATAAATACCACTGTCCTCTGACAGTTGGGTCACAGCCTCGTCTATAGAATTGACCTGTTGATAGTGGTGATTACATGTGACTGAGGAAGCAGAAGGAATGAAAGCAGTAGCTTAAGTCTTGCTAAGAAGTTGAGCAAGCTATGAAACCTCTACTAGTTGTCATTCAGCACAGCTGTATTGATCTGAATGCCCAATGGCACTGTGGCTCTCCTCTTGGGCTTGGAAAATGCCATGAGAATCCAAAGAAAAGGTTTTCCTTTAAGGCCTTGCCTTATGCTACTGTTGCTCCTTGGTCTCCCTTGCATAATTGATAAGCCTGGTTGTTCAGTGATGTTTACAACTTACCTTTGAGTGGTAGTTTAAAATGTGAGGTAAGCCATCTGCAAACTGCATATGGGAGAAGTATCCTTTAAGACTAAGAAAGTGCTGTGTCAGCTAAACCCAGCACTGGTAGTATCTGTAGTTGAAAAAGGGAAAGGTTGCACTGGTATTAGCAAGTTGAATTTTTAAATGTTAGTCTTGAATGCATTGAGTGAGTGAGAATATATGGGCAAGCGATGTCAAAGTTTACTGAAATCGCCAATTTGGTGCTTAAACTGTGCAGCAAGCCGAAGAGTGAACAGCTTCTTGCCAGCAGGAAATCTATGTTCTTGAGTACCTAAACCAGGCTCCAGGTTCTTTTGGGAATAATCAGGATTAAGGTAATACTTTCATCACACAGCAGGGAGACTACCCCAGTTCTGTTTTGTTTTTTGGATTTCTTCCCCTTTTGTAGGGAAAAAATGGTTTATGCCAAGTAAAGGTGAATGTTTAGAAAGCAGCTTCCAGGCAGTTTTGAACCCATGCTGAAATCCCTCCCCTTGTTACAGATGGTGTAGAAGTCACAAGTCTGTTAATTGGGCTGTTTCTTCTCTTGCCTGTTGTTCCTGCTCCCTCTATTTCTGTCTGAATAGTCAGGAAGAGATTTATTGTTTAATATTTAAACAAAATATTTAATGTCTACACAGTAAAATTATTCAGACTTCAAACCAGTATTGAAACCAGTTGGAAACCAGCTAATAGTTTCTTAATCTCAGACTTAGAGATGAATGTAAACTGTATTCTGTTGAAATGTGCAAGTGTTTGATTTACGCATTTGAAAACTCCTGCCTTGAGGTTATTGTTTAATGGGACCAACTCGTGAAGTTTGTAGCCTTAAATCTCCGTGCTAAAAAGTTTTAGTACAGTTCAAAAACATGAAGGGAATGTGTGGAGTTCTAGCATAAAGGTAGAAAGAGAGATGGTGGCTTTCCAAAGAAAGAAACACCAAGACTGTCTTTTGTAGGAATTGTTGGATAGGCCTCTGATCAAAGGTGTATACCATAGGAAGGAGAGCCCCACAACATAGCTTTGATAGAACTGATGAACAGAGAGAGAGTCTGGATTCTGCTAATCAAAATCCAAGCAGAATTTTTTCAGGAGTCATTATCTGACATCATTTCTGCAGGAAAGTGGGTGTTTAATGAATGTCCTTTTGGGCTTTATTTTCTTGCACACATTTGTACAAAATTGTCTTCATCCTTGTGGTGCTTATTCATCTGAGCCGTCTACAGCCCCAAGGCCTCTGCATTTTGTTTTTCTTTTGTAGCATAAGTTTTTTGCTTTCGCCTTAAGGTTTCCCTAGGAAATTAGCAGGTCTTTTCATTTTGTACAGTTTTTGCAGCATGTATCAAACATTGGCTTAGTATGCTAATGTGCGAAGAGAAAAAATTACCTAAAACAGGTGAGCTTTAATGAACAAATGAATATTTTCTCTGAGTTTGAGTAGGATATGTGTGGGGGTTTTTTTTGTTAATTAGTATGAAGAAACTGGGCTTATATCCAGTTCTCACAGATGTTAATCAGCTAAAAAACTGCTATACATTCTTGGAAAGGTATAAATGTGAAATTTAGAAAAATAATTAGGGTAGGTCTTAGAACCATGGGAAAAATGTTTACCAGCAAGTTCATTTGTTATTTTGGATCTGAAACTTGGCTTTGTTTAATAGTGACAAGGATGGTGCAGTACCAGGAAAGTTCTGGAAGAAACTGTCAATTTTACTTTAAAATGAAAAATATGGTGTTTATGTATTTTACCATTTTCAATTAAACTTCTTAAATGTTTTGAACTTTTTGAGGTATTTGTATTACTGCACTTCAGTAAATGAAATGTTTCCTTTAAATTGCAATTAAAGCAGCATTCATAAAATGAAGAGCTTACTTTAAATTTATCCTGGAAGGATAATTATGTTGTATTAAAGGTAAGTTTTAATTGTCACTTTCTTTTTGATGGGACTGGGGTTTGAACTCCAGGCATCAAGCTTGCAAAGCAGGAGCTTTGCTTGAGTCACACCTCCAGTCCATTTTGCTCTGATTGTTTTGGAGATGGGGTCTTGCAAACTGTTCCTCCCCTGCACCCCTCCCAGCTGGCCTCAAACCTTTATCCTCCCAATCTTAGCCTCCCAAGTAGCTAGGATTACAAGTATGAACCACCGGTGCCTGACTAGGTTTCAGTTTTCTATTTCTGAAAAAGGCAGACTATGCTTTGCCACTCTAAAACCCACAGCATGCTTTCCACTTAGCAGATCATTGCTGTGGACTCAGTAGTGAGATGTTGTCATGACTGAGTCCTTACAAATGTTCAAATGCACAACTGGAAATGGTTTAGGGCGGGCGTGGTGATGCATGCTTGAAATTCCAGCTACGCAGGAGGTGGAGACTGGAAGATCCTGAGCTCCAGTAAAGTTAGCAAGGCCATATCTCAGAAACAAAACAAAACAAAACAAAAAAAGGCAGAGGTGTGGGGCCCTGGGTTAAAACTCCAGTACAGAAAAAAAGAAAAAAAAAAAATTCTGCATGTTCAGTTATGTGGCTGTTCCTTTCTTACGAGTTGACCTGGGGGCTCATGTGTGGCTCAGGTGGTAAAGCACCTGCCTAGCAAGTATGAGGCCCTGAGTTCAAACCCCAGTACTGCCAAAAAAATGTTGACTGGTTACCAGGTGGCATAGTCATTCTGATAACTGTGATCCCTGAGTTGCAAGGCCGGAGTTACCTTAGGCTTGCAGTTGTAAAAGCAAAGGATTTTGTTTTGTTTTGAACCAAAACTTGAAAATCACATCTAAAAGTTATCTAATACACTGGTTTGGAAACGAAAGCATTAGTAGATGGTGATGCTAACATGTATTGTAATCCAGGTGACCCAGGTCCAGCATTCTTTGACTTGGCCGGTTGGTTTTACAGAATCTCTGTAGCAGTACCTAAGATGTTGCCATTTAGGTTTCATTGAAGTAACAGTGTGGTTCAGAGAGTGTAACATTAAACTCTTAAAGAACTAGTCTTGGGTGTATCAGTTTGGTTGGAATATTATAGCTCTGCTTATCTAGGTCCATTAGAGGGCTTTGAAGCATGGCTCAGGTGGTAGGGCGGTTGCCTAGTAAGTACATGGTCCTGAGTTCAAACCCCAGTACCATCAAAAAAAAAAGGAAAGAAAAGAACATCTAGTCCCTCAGACTACAGCTGGCAATTGGAGATGAAGTAGATGCTGTTAGAATACAGTGTTAAATTCCATCTCCAGGAGGACAGTGATGTGGACTTTCGACATCTATCTGGTGGGTAAGCGGTTCTTCTTGTCTGCTCGTGAAGTTTAGAAGTCACAGGGAAAGATTAAGTTCTTAGGAGACTAGAATTCAGTTGACAATTTAAAATACTCGTGGGATGGAGTCTTTACTCCCATTTTTGGTGGGGAGCAGCTTCAAAACTTCAAGAACTAAAATGCTTCTGGAGTAAGCAGCATGACCTTCTGATCATCCTGGTTCCATTCTACCGTCTCTGCACCAATAGCACAACCAAGAGGAAGGCCAGAGGCAGATGCCCAGATGGTGTGAGGCAGGCAGCTTGTCATTGCATCTTTGATCTCAGTCACAGGACAGCCCTGTGCATTTAATGGAGGCCTTTTGGTTTTGTTGGGATCTTTAGTTCTAGCCATTCAATTTGGTGTTTAAATATGAAAAATGTCCTTCTATACCAGAAGTTTTCTTAATGCTGAGCACAGCGTTTAGTAAGTTACGTGTGTCCTGCCCTGTTAGGACAGCTGCTTCCTTCGTGGGATGTTACTGACGACTCACCTCAACCTCCAGGTGCTTTTGCTGTCATAACCAAGGCAAAAATGTTTCTGTAGCTACATCTGCCCTTATAAATCCTAAATAGTCTTGGCCCTAAAGTTTTCAGAGTGAAGCAGGCAAGATCATTTTCAGTCCTGGGCACAACTGGAGGTGGTCCTTAACATCTATAACACAAGGGCCTGGAATTTCAAATCCCAGTACTTGGAGGAGAAAGAAACCTCAGAAACCTCAAGTTCAGCCTAAGTAAGCTGTATTGCTAAACCCTAGGACTGGACTTTGCTTTTAGCCACTGGCTCAGCCTGCCTTACTTCTAAGTGCACATGTGCACACCTCTAGTCAGCAGAACCAGCACACCTCGTACATGTCTGCGATTACAGCCTGCTGGGGATTCTCTGAATCCTTCTGCGTGCATGTGCTTTGGTGGTAACTGGAGTTTTTGCTCAGGGTCTCACACTTGCTAGGCAGGTGCTCTGCCACTTGAGCCACTCCACCAGTCCTGGAGACAGGGTCTTGCTATGTAGCCCAGGCTAGCCTCAAACTTGAGATCCTTCTGCCTCAGCCTTTCCAGTGGAGATTACGGGCATGTACCACCATTACTGGTTTAGGAGAAATTTTGTTTTGGTGGTATTGGGGTTTTGAATTCAGGGCCTTGCACTTAATAAGCAAGCACTTTGCCACTTGACCCACATGGTTCAGCCCTTTATGGTTTATTTTCCAGATAGTATCTCAGGCTTTTTGCTAGGGGTCCAGCAATCCTCCTACCTATGCTACCAACATAGCTGGGATTACAGTGCAAACCACCATGCTTGCCTTGTTTGTTGAGATGAGGTCTTACTACCTCTTATGCCCAGGCTGGCCTCAAACTATGCTCCTCCCAGTTTCTACTTCCTCAGTAGGTGAGAGCAGTTACACCCAGTCTCAATAAATAAGGAACATAGCCAAATGGGTATAGAAGGATTTTATCTGCTAGTATAGCAGATAATTTATAAATGAGCAAAGTAATTTATAAATGAGCACAGTCCCTTTCTATTTTGTAAAAATCCTAAGTAAAAACACACCACGAAAGATGATATCAAGTATATGTAGTTTGGGAGTTGTATTGTCTTTAGAAATTTTTCCTGAACAAATGTATTTATTATTGTTTGGGTGCTAGGATCAAATCCAGGGCCTGTGCACTCCAGGCAAGCAACTCTACCACTGAGCTCAACCCCAGCCTTGATTCTGTTATGAAGTAAGCTTGTGCAAATAAAAACTTTTCCAACGTGGCTTAGGAGCTTAGGGCTAACTTTCAAATGCTTAGGATGGTGCCTGGCAAACATGAAGTGCTTATAACATCTCTTAGAGTCCTCTCTACAACCTCCAGAGAGCCTGTTCTCCCTCTGCAGATGAGGAAGCAAGTGACACTACATCCGCCCAGGGCTACCCAGCTCACCAGTGGAGACACTGAGACAGGGAATTTGAGTATAGAAAACGGTCTTATCTTGACATTCAGTGGCTTTTATGAGATGACAGAGCCAAACGCTGGTTACAGTTCCAGCTGTGCTAGTGGCCAGTTAAGCTGAAGCACCTGTGTCAGAAAGAGGGCAGCCAGGAGTTGAAGCAGCAGTAATCAAGGTGGAAAAGCGTTCAGTCACTGCATGGTAGCTTGCTCTAGTTAGGTGCATTACTACCCTAGTGAGCAGTGGAACATCAGTCACAAAGTAAGACTGACGGCCTAAAAGAAGTCACAGAACAAGGACGCTGCATTGCACTTTTTAATTGCGTGGGTGGTTTAAATAAATGGAGAAAGCACCTTCCAGAAGCTACACAAGCAGGGGAAGATTCCATCAAGCGCTTACACAGTAAATTTCTGTAATTTTACAGAAGATTCTTGATCCATCCCTGAACTGCACGAGGGAAAAGGAGCCCCCTCAGTGTTTCTCTGCTTGCACAAGCAAATTAAAGGACCTAAAACTGGAGGCAAGTCTAGGAGGCCAAGAAGTGGGGAGAGATGGGAAAGGGCCACCCACAAATTGTGTCTACTTCAAGACACAAGTCAAGTGACTCTTACATCAGTATTGCAGGGTAAACTACCACCTTTTTAGTCTGAAAAACTGAAGTTCTGAGTTACAGTCGTATCCTGGGTTGCTGGATGTGGAAACACAACACTTGAGTCTAATACTTGGGAGGTGTTCTCTAGGACTGTACACCTCTACCTTGCTTTCTGAATGAAGCACAGACAGGCTTTGCTGCTGTCCTCCGGGCAGTGTGACAGTCAAGGAAAGGCCAGCAGTACAGGATCGCTCCTTAGACACTAATCAGCTGGGGAAAGAGTTCATTGGCAAAAGTGTCCTCCCAAAAATGGTTTGCACCAAGTGGGGAGGACATGTCGCTGAAGGGGGAAGGGGAACCCTCATATCCACAGTCACTATAAGCATCCAGCAGGCAGGAAGATGGCTTCAGGCAGTGGCTGGATGAAAGCAGATTCGAGATACCCAGCTCTGGAATGAAGTCATCTTCCACAGGTTCTTCCTTCACTGAGACAATGAATTCAGGGTGATCGCCCTCTGAGGGGCTGAGAGGTGCTTCCTCGATCTTCACTACCACATTAGTTTGGTTCTCTGTCTCAGAGGGGATTTCTAAGACAAGAGGCTTTGTATAGATGTGATCAAAACGAATGAGTTCATTAATGGCTTCCAGCTTGGCTGATGACGTCCCCATGGACAGAGAAAGGGAGGCTGGTAAGGAACTAGGTCCTTCTGGGCAGACCTCTGGGAGGTCTTCCAGACTGGCAGACTCTGGAGAAGGGCATTTGAGGAACATGACTGGGTCCAACTTGTCCAGAATGCCCAACAGGATATCAGACTGCAGGAGGCAAAAATGAAACAGCAGAACTGTTAGAATGCACGTGACCTTCTGTGGAGAACACTGGTACTGGGTTCCATGATGTAAATTAGTTGTGATGCTTAAGATGCCCCCACTCCATGTCCTGAGTTACAGGGGATCTAGGAAGGTAGGTAGTGTTCGCCCCTAGCCCCACCAAAACTACTTCCCCGGCTTGTCTGATTAGGGACGTCAGCCATTACACAGGTGGAACAAAGCAGTCAAAGTGTTCAATAAGTGAGAACGATGTGTCTACCTCAGTGTCTGAAGAGTCAATGCCGTCAGAATCCATAGGGAGATGTTCTGGGGAGGTGACAACTGGGCCTGCACCTGCTGCAGAGGTGCACGTAGTCTGAGTGCTGCGGACTCAGCAGACCCGGCCACCAGCCTTGCTCCATTCCCCTGGGGAAAGAACAAAGTGAATTCCCACAGAAATGCTGGCCAGGCAGCTGTGATTCTCAGCTCTCAAGAAAGCTGGAAAGCTCAGTTGGGCTTGGTGGCGCCCCAATCCCTGCACTCAGGCGGCTGAGGCAGGAGGATCATGAGGTAGAGGCCAGGCTGGAGTACATAGTGAGATGTTTCAAAAATTAATTTAAAAAAAAAAAAAAAAAAAAAAAAAGCTAGAAAAGCCTTTTTTAAAGCTGTAATCTTCCCCTTCCATCGTTACTTTCATTCACTGATCACAAGATGAGAGAAAGAAGAGAGTAAACCTCCACTGTGATCTACTGTGCACTGGGACACTTTCCTCCCTAAGCAAAGCCTCAGGCAGGGACCGGGCGTGTGTGCCAGTGGTCAGTGCTTGCCTGCCGTGTGCAAAGCACTGGATTCTATCCTCAGCACCACACACATATAAAAAAAAGTCTCAGGCTGGACTGAAATAACATGTTGATAATAAGCTCGATAGTTTTTTAAGCAATAAAATCTTAGTGATTTAATCCTAGAATTTTTTTGAACAGTTATTCCTTTTTTGGGGGGGAGAGGGCTGCCATACTGGAGTTTAAACTTAAGGCTTTGTAGGTAGGCACTCCACCACTTGAGCCACACCCCAGTTCTTTTTTTACTTTAGTTATTTTTTCAGACAGAATCTTGCTTTTTACCTGGCTAGCCTGGGACCCACATCTTCCTATCTATGCTTCCCCAGTAGCTGGGACCACAGGCATGCTTCACTATACCCAGCTTGTTTGCTGAGATGGGGGTCTTGCTAACTTTTTGCATCAAACTGATCCTCCCAATCTCCGCCTCCTAAATACCTGGCTCTGAACAGTAATTTTAAAAGTTCTTCCTGAATGATAAGCTTCAAAGAGAATTGTCTACTGCCAATCTTAGACCACTTAAGCACTGAATTTGCTGTTATTCCTAGACAAGACCATGTACTCATCTTCTCTTGTCAGTCACTATCACAGCGCATCCCTCTACTCATTCAGGTCCATGAGAACAACTTCTAATTGGAGTAGCATCCAAAGTCTGATGTAAGCTCGGCATGGTGGCACATGGTGATGCTAGTCCCAGCACCTGAGTGGCTGAAGCAGGAGTATCTCCAGTTGAAGGCCAGCCTTGGCTACATACAAGTCTCCAGCTCAAAAAAAATTCCAGAAAACCTACCCCCACACAAAGTCTGACTCGACTGGCTCTTCTTCACCATAGCATGGTACAAACTTGTTCTGAGAGAGGTGTGTAACTTATTTTAATGAGTAGGACTTAGTACTGTTGCTACACAGTTGAGACATAAACAGGACTGTTTTTCTTTAATTTCCTGGATGGAAATGTGAAACCAAAGGAAAACCTTAAGAATGCTTTTGATCAGGTGTGGAATGCAAACATCTGGGTCGTGTCACTGTCACTTGGAACCAGTTCTCACAAATGGCACCAGATGAACATGACTTACCTTGGCCTCTGCCTCTGTCTCCTCTTCAGTAACCAGGGCATCCATTCCTAAGCGGTGTCTTAACTCCTGGTTCTCAACCACAAGGCCATGAGTTTTCTCTCGTAAAAGTTGATTCTCTAGCAAGAGTTTCTGGTTCTGGAAGAAAGTTCATAAGAGGCTATTAAAATAGCCAGCTCTTTCACACAGAATCCACCCGGGAAGGTTTCTCTACAGTTGGTTTCCTTTTTGAACTTCTGGGAGATGCTCTGTCGACAGTTGTTCACAGTAGGCATCAGTAGCCCAGGTCATAATTAGGAAAATATAGCTAAGCAGCAGAGTGACTGGTAGCTTTAATCTAGAGAGGATTTTTTTTTTAATGTGTTTTAAAAAAAGGCATGGCGGTACATGTCTGTAATCCCAGCATTCAGAAGGCTACAGCAGGAGGGGCTCAAGTCGCAGGCCAGCTTCAGCTATTGCAGTGAGATCCTGTCTCGGAAAACAAAACCACAAGTATCTGCCTTGATAGTGAAAAGGGCAGTGGTCGGCCAGCACACCGAAAACTGTTTCTAGTAAGAACCATTAATGATTCATACGCGAAAAAGAACCATCCCATATTAATAATCCCCGTGCAGTCAAAATGCTAACTAGCCGCCGTTCAAGATTAGATAACAGGTGAACTGTAGGAGGGAGAGGGCAACTTTGGTGAACTTTCGGCAGATTCTGAAGTTTAAGCAGATTTCCTATCTCCTTACTAATTTGTTTTCTCTGCGGGGGGGCGGGCGGGCAGGCGCTCCGCCCCCAGCACTGCGTGAGTTGGCACCGATCCCCGCTCCCCGCGGGGCCATCAGCCTGGGCTTGCAGCGTTACCTCCTCCTCCAGGTCCACCACCTGCTGCTCCAGCTCGCTCATCCGAGCCTTCTTTCGGTCTCGGGCGGTCTGTGCTGCCACTCTGTTTTTCAGCTTCCTGAGGAGGGAAGGCACCCGGCTCCCTGAGTCACCCCGACCCTAGAGCTCTGCACAGGCCCAGCAATGGGAAGCACTCCAGGCTCCCCCTCCGCCGGTCCAGCTTTCTGGCGTCGTTCTCTACGTCCCTCCCTCCCGTCCTCCCCCGCTGCACCCGGGTCCCCATCTCGGCAGACCTGCGGAGGCTGCGATGGCGCCGCGCCCTGAGCCCTGAGCCCTGAGCCCGTCCCCTCTCCCCCGGTCGGCGCCGAGACGCCGCTAAAGCGAGCACCCGCGGGAACGCAGCGCGCGGAACCTTAGCTGCGCGCCCCGGCTCCCCCACGACCCCAGGAAGAGGCGCACGCGGCGGATCTGGTCCGTCCAGCCTTGCCGCGCCGGCACACCGCAGTCGAGGGCGCCCGACCCCGGATCCCAGCCCTCGCCCACCTCCTCAGCGCCTTCTCCTCGGGGCTCAGGTGCGTGAGGCGCTGTCGCTTGCGCGCCGGGGGCGTCCCCCCGCTCGCCACCTCGGGACCGGCCCCTCTTTGGCCCGGCACCATGAGCGGCACGGTTCGGCCGGCCGGGGCTCCGGCGGCGGCGGGCTGGCCGGACAGAAGTAGGACTTTTGGAGCCCCGGAGGCCGAACTCGGCGCCGCTGCCACCACCACCATGGCCACAGTGTACGCTAGTGCGTCCCGCCGCCGCCCAGCCGGCGGCCCCGCAGCGCCCAGCCTTTCTAGGGTCGTGGCCGTCCGCGATTGGCCAGCGCCTCGTGACGCAAGGCCGAGATCGGCGCCCATTGGTCCGGTGGACCCAGCGGGGGCGGGGCCAGAGCGCCCTCTTGGCCAGGGCTGTGGTGTCCAGCGTGGCAGGCGCTGCCGGGGCCGTGGGAGTTGCCGGTTTTTCCACTGGGGGCATTTCCGGGGGGAGTGGCCGGCAGGAGCCCGCCTGGGGCCGGTGGGGGACCCAGGGGACTTCCAAGGGGTCCTCCACAAATGGTGACCCCCTCGCCACCGCTGACGCATTTTTGTACCCGAGTGCCAGACTTCAACTGCAAACCGCTCGGTTTGCAGACTCGGGAGTCGCCAAGGACGATCGCTCAGCCTGGCCGGGGCGGCGGAAAACCCGGTGATCCCACATCCGGCCTGGGGAGGAATTGTGAGAAACGTCTTCGGGACGGATCGCGTATTTCAGAAGGAGGCTAGCACACAGCGACGGCACAGCGGTGCCCTTGCATTTCTAAACTTTCTGTTAGGAGCGTTCATCGCTATTGTTTTTGTCCTCTGCGGTACCTTCTAGACGAGCGCTCCTTATGGTTCATTTTACTTAGCTTTTGTTCTTTGTGGCACTGGGGTTTGAACTCAGGGCCTCACCCTGGCTAGGCAGGCGCTCTACCACCTGAGTCACTCGACCAGCCATGTTTTGTGCTGGACATTTTCGAGACAGGCTCTTGCGATCTCTTTGCCCAGGGCCGGCTTTGAACCTTGATCCTCCCGCTCTCTGCCTTCTGAGTAACTGGGATTACAGATGTGATCCAGCAGCGCCCGGCTGCCCTGGTTATTTTGGAGATGGGGGCTCAAACTGTTTCCCCGGGCTGGTCTTGAACTGCAGCCGTCTCAAGGAGCGCCGTGCATCATTATTTTTTAATGAGGAGAAAATAAAATGTTACATGTGAAAACAGAGACCCAAGCCGGCGCCGGTGGCTCAGGCCTGTAATCCTAGCTATTCAGGAGGAAGAGATCAGGAGGATCACAGTTAGAAGCCAGCCTGGGCAAATAGTTTATGAGACCCTATCTCGAACAGAACATCACAAAAAAGGGCTGGTGGAGTGGCTTAAAGTGAAGGCCCTGCGTTCAAACTCCAGTACTGCAAAAAAAAAAAAAACAAAAAAACCTCTAAGAGACCCCTGGGTTTACCCTGACCTCCCTGCCTGTGGAGGTCCAGTCAGGCGGAGTGGGCTTGAGGTGCTTATAGAACACGGCCTCAGGCAGCAGAAAGGAGCAGTTTAGACTCAGGAATATTAAAATGGAGAACCACACACAACTCTCTTGTGCAGGTGCACTCTTTGGAAGCAAACTACAAAATGTTAAGTTCCCTAGAATTTCAAAGCAAAACTTTCTTTGGCAAGTAGGTGCTTCATCCTCTATGTTGGGCACTAGTCCAGGTTCTAGGGATGCCAAGATTAGTGAAACTGGGAGCTGGAAATCACGAAAAAAGTGAAAGCTAAGACAGCAGGGTTCCAAGTAATTGTCCGTGCTATTAAGTCAGATTAGCTCAATGACTGTATTTTGCTTGAGAAGAAACAGAAATCCGAGAAGGAACTTAAAAGCAAGGGCGTCTGTTGATATCCAGGCCCTTTAAAGGCAGTTTTGTTCTTCCTGGGACAGGATGATGAGCCTCCTCTAATGTATTCTGTTCCTCTTTGTAGACAAAGGGAAGTCAGGGACTGTTTCTTTAAACTGGGTACAGCCTCTGAGTTAGTAAAGAGGCGAGAGTGACCAGAGTTTATGCAGGACAAGAGGCAAGGGTGATCAGGCTTTATGCAGGACAAAGAAACCTGCCTCCTCCTTCAGCTGTAGTGTCCCAATGTTCCTCCAAACGACCAGAGACTCACTCCTGGCCTCCGAGGTTTTTTGGGACAAGTCTTTGGATCTATCATCTGCTTGAGACCTGTGTAGACCTGGGACGGCTGTAAGAGGCTATGGGGAAAGACAGGCAACTAACTATGCTGTGCACCCTGTTATTTATGAAGTTAAGATGTATGAGATTTGGGGCTGGGAATGTAGCTCGGGGATCGAGTGTTTGCCTAGCTTGCACGAGGCCCTGGGTTCAATCCCCATCTACACACTCATGATGTATAGAATTCATAGACTGACTGGCACTGTCAGTGAAAAGAAATCTTAGGGAAACTTAAATTTAAATCATTTAGGCATAATAATATTTTTTTAGAAAGCCTGAGGTCCCTATTAATCCAGCAAGGTTAAAATGACTAACCCTGTGGGTGAGCAAGGCACAAGACAGAGGCGAGGAGAGAACTTCGACAGGTTGCATTTGGTCATGGTTAATGGGATATAAATGGAATGTTGAATTTCACTCCTCCCAGATTTTTTTCTTTTTCATCTTTTTGACAAACCTTTAAAATAATTTTGAAAACAGTAATTTGACCCACTGCAGATTGCTGTCCATGAAATCCGAAAAAAGTCAAGTGCAAAGCCTTTGACAGTTTCACATCCTCTCTGTAAAATTAATCTGACCATTCTTGCACCAGATGCCAGTCATGTTTTAAAACGTTCACTGAGTGCTTGGGTTAAGAGCTATAAAAGATACAAGATCCAAAGTTCTCAGTCTCTGTGACAGCTGAGACGCAGTGAGGAACAAATGAGCCAATGAAATACAAATAAGTCTAAACACATGTCAAAGGAAACAAAAAAACAAAACAATGAGCTGAAGCCACGATCAGGAACTGCTGCCCACCAGCCACTGAGCACTTGAAATATTGCAGCTTGGCTGTGCAACATCGAGTGGACGAATACCACTCGGATTAGCACTCAGGCATGCTTAAGATGTTTGGGCTCAGTGGTAAAGCGCTTGCCTAGCATGCCCAGGGTTCAGTCCTCAACCCTGAGAACAAAAGATGGTAAATTTTATGTTCATTTATGTTATGTCTACCCTACTACTATAAAACCAATACCATGCCAGGCGCTGGTGGCTAACGCCTGTAATCCCAGCTACTCAGGAGGCAGAGATCAGGAGGATTAAAGTTCAAAGTACCACCCCAGTACCACCAAAACAAAAACAAAATACCAAATGAAATGCTGCATGAGTCAGGTGTGGTGGACATGCTTGTAATTCCAGCAATTGGGAGGCTGAGGCAGGACAAATGTGAATTAGAGGTCAGCCTGGACTACATAGCAAGAGCCCATCTTCAAAAAAAAAAAAAAGTGTCCTAAGAGTCCTGCCTTGTTCAGGGAAAGGTTAATCCCAGACATTATTAGCATATTAGCAGAAATAGTTGTGTTGATGGTTTTATTTCTCTCTCTCTTTTTTTTTTTTATTCTTCTTCATGATTCAGCCCCACTGCTTAAAGTAGTGATTTCAGAATCAGAATAGGGGTGCAGCCAGGCACTGTGGCACCCACTTACAGTCTCAGCTACTATGGGCACTGAGGCAGAAGGATCGTCTGAGCTCAGGAGTTCCAGACCAGCCCAGCAGCATAGAAAACACTGTTGGGAGAGGGGGTGGGGAGGTGGAGAAGAGGGAAGGAGAAGGGGTGTTTTGTACCCAGTACGTAGACACTCCAAGCCACATGTGACTGAGGATAAACTCTTCCCAAAACCCATGAGCCTGAAAAGGCACTACCCCTAAAGTGACTCACTTCCGTACCTCTTTTGCGCAATGGCCATTCTAGCACCAGGGGGAAGGAGACCTTTTTTTGTTTTGTTTTTCCAGTACTGGGGTTTGAACTCAGGGCCTCATGCTTGCTAGGCAGGTGCTGTGCCACCTCATCAGCCCAGAGGGAAAGCTTGTTGCCTAGGTTTCGTCTACCTGAGAAAAAGACCTGCAGACAAAGAGGAGATCTAGTCACTGGGATCCAATCCCTTTCCTCCTACAGTGCTGTAATTCTTTGTTCTCAATAAAGTTAATGGAAGACAAACATGAGTTGTTTGCGGATAGTTCAGTAAAAATAAGTTTTGCTGATAAATCACCATACGACTTGACTTCTAACTCACAGGGTGTTTGAAGAGTTGAAGGACATTGTTATAACAAAAATCTTCAAAGCCTTCCTTCATGGTGCACAGCTGTAGTCTCAGCTACTCGGGAGGCTGAGGCAGGAGGATCCTTTGAATGCAGGACTTCAAGGTCAGCCTAGGCAATATCAGAAGATCTCTATCTTTAAAAGGGGGGAGGAGGACTGGTGGAATGGCTCAAGTGATAGAGCGCCTTCCTAGCAAAGCCTAGCAAGCATGAGGTCCTGAGTTCAAGCCCCAGTGTTGCCAGAAAAGAAAAAAAGCAAAAAGTGGGTAGGAAAGCTGGAGGCCTGACTCAGGTTGTTGAGCACCTGCCTAACAAGTGCCAGGCCCTGAGTTCAAATCCCAGTAATGCCAAAAAATAGGTCCCCCCCCAAAAAAAAGGAAGAAAAGGAAAACAAAACAAACAACCAGGGCAGAGGGTGTAGCTCAGTGGTAGAGCACCTGTCTAGCATGTACCAGGCCCTGGGTTCAATCCCCAGTATGGCAAAAGACTAGAACAAAAATAAATCCATTCCATCCTCCACTTTTTTAATGAAAAGGAATTTTTAGGGGAGTGAGACTATTTTATATGCTAACACAATGGTAATATATACATCATTACCCATTCATCAAAACTCACAGAATGGACACCACCAAGAGCCAACACTTGGTGTGAGCATGACCATGAATTTGAGGCCAGCCTGGGATACACAGGAGACCCTGACCCTGTATCCAAAAAAAAAAAGCCAGTCTGAGTGCAGTAGCTCACTCCTGTAATCCCAACATTTAGGAGGCAGAGGCAGGAGGATCAAGAGTTTGAGGCCAGCCTGAGCTACATAGCAAGTTCCAGGCAAAGTCTGGTCTATGAGACTCTTCTCAAAAAACCAAACTCCAGCCGGTGCTGGTGGCTCATCTATATAATCCTAGCTACTCAGGAGGCAGGGATCAGGAGGATCACAGTTTGAGGCCAGCCAGGGCAAATAGTTCTCAAGATTGTATCTTGAAAATGCCCAACATAAAAAGGGCTGGCAGGGTGGCTCAAGTGGCAGGGCACCTGCCTAGCAAAACCAAGGCAAGGTCTCCTTATAGCTGCAGTGCAATCACCCAGATCAGGAAATCAGCACCTGTGTAAATACAGTATCTCTATCTAAACCACAAATTCCATCCAAAGTTCTCTGACTGTTCCAGTAATGTCCTTTATAGTTCAAGATTCCATCCAAAACCAACAAAACCAAGGGTTGAATTTGGTGACTGTCACATCTCTTTAGGTCCTTGAATTGAAAACAGCTCCTTAGTCCATTTGTTGATTGACTGATTGATTGCAGTGCTGTGGATGGAACCCAGGGCCTTGTGCACACTAAGCAGGTGCTCTGCTTAGTTCTTTCGTGTGTGCGTATGTGTGTGTGTGTTTGTGTGTTTGCTGTCTCTTCTGACCTTATTTTTTTATTTTGTAAAGTACAGGTCAGTTATTTTGTATACTGCCTCAGTTTGCAGGCTTTATGAGTTTTGGGTGAGAACACCACAGAAGTTGTAACAGGTTCTTAGAAACTGTTCTTGGTGACCAGCATTGCACCCCACTCGGGCCCATGGGGTCACTAAGAGCAGGACAAAAGCCTTGCTGTCCAGGCCGTCTTCTTTGTCTTGTAACTTTGGCCAGACTCTTGCTTCACTCTGCACGTAGGCGTGTCACTCCTCAGGAATGGCTGCCTAAAATCCAGTGACACCCACCTTTGTCCCTTGGAGGCTGAGTCACAGAGATAAGTGTGACTGCAGTATCTTCCCATTGGCTTTTACAGTGTCTGCTTCCAGACCCCCCAAAAGGTGCCCCAAAGTCTGCAGACCTCATCTTAAACCTGCAGCCACCTTGGGCTCCAGGAACAGCAGAGCCTGGCAGACAGGTCACCCCCTGATACGGTCACCCCCAAGCAGGGCCAGTCATCTCCTGGGAACCGATTGTCCCCTGCAGCAATAAATAGGACTTCAGGTCACCTTGCAGAACCAGAAGTATTGGAACGAGTGACTGAGCCCTGTCTGTCTACTGGGAC